CATCACAAGGGCAGATTACAGGGAGACAACAACCTCCCTCCACCTGATGGACAGTCCTCTTTTAATGCAACCCAGGATGCCGTTGGCCTTCTGGGCTGCAAGCCGCACATTGACACCTCATGTGAAGCTTTTTATCCAGCAGAATCCCGAAGTCCTTCTCAGCAGGGCTGCACTCTAGGAGTTCTTCATCCAGTCTGTACACATGTCAGGGATTGCCCCAGCCCAGTTGTAGCACCTTACACTGAGACTTGTGGAACCTCATTAGGTTCATGTGTGCCCACTTCTCAAGCATGTCCAGGTCCCTTTGGGTGGCATCCCTTCTTTCTATTCTGTCAACAACAGAATTTGTCTACAGGACAAAGTGTGTGGATTTTCTGTGAGGGCTGGCATGCACAGGCATATCTGTTGTTCTACATAGTCCACTGTCAAAGGGATTTTGCTTGTAATTTCCTAAGAGCTTAGCCTCTTCCTCTGGACAGGTACACTGTAGCTGCTTGCTGCCTCCTGGGTACTTGCAGTGCAATTAGGATGAGCCTGAGGCTAGGGTGGGAGAGAAGATTTTTAAGCAACAAGGGATTCTCCCAATCTTTCCCATACTATCTTCTATGGAGTATCTCCTAGAGAAAGACCTTAGGCGCACTGCAGGAGATTCAGCAATCCCATTCTCTGCAGCAACTGTACAGGCCTAGGGCTGTAGCAGCCTCCTTGGCCCTTGTCTGGAGCAAGTACTGCCAACTGGGATGCTGCTGGTGACAGGCCATGTAAATGTAAGAAATGCTGGACCTATAAGTGCATCACAGGGTCTCTGTGTACTGTGCTCAGCCCCGCAATGCAGACTCCATTGCTTGGATCTTACTGCCCTGAAACACAACTGGAGTCACAGCACAGCTCTTCACACAACTGCTTTTCCTTTTCCAGCTCATGGAAATGGCACAGGGACGGGTCACTGAGGGAAGTAACAATGGAAATAGGCAACATTTTTTCTAAAGCCCAAGTGAAGAAGTAGACCAAAGGCAGGCAGACAGGGGCTGAAGGCAGCTAAACTACGCAAGCTACTTTGGTGACCAGAAATATGCTGAGCATCCTCTTCAGATTACATTATGGGTTTTGGGGACTTCAGAGAAAGAATGTAGTGTTAAGAGAAAGGAGCTCTTGCAGAAAGGACAGGGCCTTCTGTGGTATACAGTGATGCACCCTTGCTCCCTGGGAGCAGCCTACAGCGGACACAACCCAGGTGAGCTCTGCAGCTCGCACAGTCCTGGCCATGCCCTGCAAAGGGATTTTTGTTAAAGCCCTGTTGGATTTCCTGTCCCTGTGTGAACAGCACAGAAATAGCGGGCTGAGTCCCCCACATGCAGATGCTGGAGGAACAGAGATGACTCGGACCGTGAATTGTCCCGGGAGGCTGTGGCTCGACCTTGTACTGCAGCCCCGTATTGCCCTGTATCACCAGATAGCCCGCCGATGTAAGACACCCACTCGGGACTGCCACCGGGTGCCTGACGGTACCACTGTATAGCAAATGAACTGAAGGTGAATCCGGATCCCTCGCAGGAGAGCTTCACGGAGTTCCCAGGTGTTTTCACACCTCCGCCAGACTCCACCAACCTCCACTGAGCCCACACACCTGCAGCAGAGCACATGGAGTAGGGCAGTGTGTGCACACAGAAAGAAGAGGATGCTAATCAGAAGGCCCACCACCAACCCGAGACCAGCACAGCCTCAGTCGCCAACCCAGTAACACACAAGAAAGCCACTCGGCAGGTGCACTAGCCCGACTGCCCTCCTCGGGACTCAGACGGGGCTGCTCCCAAAGCCTCCCCGACCCCGACAGCCTCCCTCTCCCGCACACACCGGACACGACCCCGGCCCCGGCCCGATGCCCTCCCTGCCCGCCGCTCACCTGCCGGCCCCAAGGCCAAGGCCAAGGCCAGCAGCCGCGGCCCCAGCCCGCCCGCCATCGGGCCCTGCCGCGCCCGGCGGGAGGCGGACAGCAGCAGAGCGGGGCCAAGCTCGGGCCGCTCCTGCCCGCACCACAAGTCGGGCCCTCGCCGGGGCAGCGCCCACCGCTCCGCCCGCCCACGCCCGGCCCACACCGCCCCCCGCGGGGCCGCGGCCCCTTCGGCGGACGAGGAGGCGGCCGCGGGGCGGGGCGCGGGGCAGCTCGGCGGGCAGCGGAGGAGCGCGGCGCCCCGGCAGCCGGAGGCAGGCAGGGAGCCTCCTGGCCCTGCCCTTGACTTGAACAAAACTGACTCCACAATCAGTAAGATTGTAACGTAGGTGTGTTTATTCAGCACTGGGCAGCACCGGGGGTAGTCCCATTAGAAACGTGCTCACCTGACACCGCAACTTGCCTTGCTTATATGCGGTAAAGAGTTACCTATGCATGAAGTTTCACAATACGCCCTTACGTATTCATTACCTGTCCCCACTTCCTATTAAAATTAATTCCACGGAGTCATTTCCATAAACTCCTCCCATCTGCGCTTGTGTAGTGTAATCTGGTGGTGGTTGTCAGGGGTCGTGGCAATGAAGACTGATGACTCTTCCTCCTCACCGCTAGTTGACCTCTTGTCTTTGCACAGACTCAGTTGCTCCTTGGCTCTTGTCCATCCGCAGCACCAGTTTCTACCAGTTTCCTAAAATAGGCTCACACTCTTATTAAGAGACTGACCTTCGTAAGGGGCACAAGGCTTCTTGCTTTAGTTAATTTGAACAATGCACCATAGGTAGCAAAGACACTAAGCAGCATCCTAGTTTAATGCCGTCAGTGCTCTATCGCTACTTGATAAGATTCTCCTAACTCCCTCTCTCAGCCTCACCGTCAGCTGGCCGGTAGACCAACAACCAACACATCGGAAGAGATGCTCCTGAGGCTAACTAGAAGAAAAGTCACAATTCAACCTGGTGTGTCTCAAACATTTTGAGCACATTCCGGGAGAATTTGATATTGGAGGGTTGACTCATGCATATGTCCTATTTGGATTAAGGCCTTAACAAAACAATAAATTGAAAATATCTCTCTGGAACCTCTACAGAACTAAAAACGAAAAACACAACAACAACAATAGAAACCAAAAAAAAAAAAAAAAATCCTTTCTTTCTTTCTTTCTTTCTTTCTTTCTTTCTTTCTTTCTTTCTTGTTAGGACTGCTCTGCAACAATTACAACATCAGTGTGATATCAACATTATTTTCACCCTAAGTACAAGACACAGCACCCTACCAGACACTTGGAGGAAAATTAACTCTATCCTAGACAAAACCAGCATTCTGGCTCACTTGTAATGACGGATTTCTTGAGTAGTCCCACTACCTGAAAGAATCCCTGGACACCCCTCTACTGGTGCATCAAGCTCTGGCAGCAGAGGCCAAAGCTGCAATCTGTCCCAGCCCACGTCCTGGCTGGCCCCTTTGCTGGGGCACGCAAGTGAGCATGGAGAGGGTGAGAAGCCCCAGTAGGAGGTTCATGTAAGGGAACACTTCAGCTTTCTATCCCCACAGAGGCAGCACAAAAGCAGCAAGTGCAGTCCTGGGGATGCAGGGCATGCAGGACAATACATTTCAACACCTAGAAACTCTCCCAGGAGATGGTGGGCTGCACACCCACACATGGCAGCCTTCCATAAGGTGTAGGGAAAGGAATTTTTGATCTAGACAGAGACCAAAAGGAATGTGGGCCTGTGTGTATGCTGGTATCATGAGATGCTATAGTCATTCACAATCAGCCTGCATCCCCAGCTGGTGACGTGCACGGAAATCACAGAACCATAGAATCATTAAGGCTGTAAGATCATCAAGTCCAACCATCAGGCTCACCTACCAAATCCTGATATGGATAGAATAAAAATAACATGCACTTAGTGTCCATCCTGCTTCCCACTGCCCTGCAGACTCCTTGGTGGATGAGGAGGTGAGCATAGGGCAGAGAGCGGGGTGGGAAGGAGTCAGAGGCTCCTCCAGCACCTACAGCAGCCAGAGGCTGCAATAAACGAAGCCTCTGCGGCAGCAATATATGTAGGAAAGGTGAGGGGCCCTTGCAGCAGGTTTGTGTTAAAGCTCAGCTGGATTTCCTGTCCCTGTGCGAACTGCACAGAAGTAGTGGGCTGAGTCCTGGGGTACCAGGGAGCTCAGGGACAGAGAAGACTTGGACTGGGAATTGTCCCGGGAGACACTGGCTCGGCCCTTCACTGCTTTGCCATATTGTACAGTGCTACCACCAGAGCTAATGAAGGACACCCACTCGAGACTTCCACCGGGTGCCTGACGGTACCAATAGACATAATAATCTTCAAAACGGAGTCCAGATCCCTGGCAGGAGAGATGCACGGAGTCTCCAGGTGCTCGCAGACCTCCACCAGACTCCACCAGACTCTGAGCCCAAACGCCTGCAGAAGGAGAGCACAGGGAGTGGGGCAGTGTGTGCCCATGGACAGGAAGGATGCTTTCTAGAAGCTCCTGCGACTACAGCACAGCACAGCCTGAGTGACCAACCCCGTTGATCCCAAAAAAAGACCCTGGCCAGGGACACTGCCCCGACTGCCCTCCTCGGGACTCAGCCGGGGCTGCTCCCAAAGCCTCCCCGACCCCGACAGCCTCCCTCTCCCGCACACACCGGACACGGCCTCTGCCCTGGCCCCGCTGCCCTCCCCGCCCGCCGCTCACCTGCCGGCCCCAAGGCCAAGGCCAAGGCCAGCAGCCGCGGCCCCAGCCCGCCCGCCATCGGGCCCTGCCGCGCCCGGCGGGAGGCGGACAGCAGCAGAGCGGGGCCAATATGCAGCTCACGCAGTCCTGGCAATGCCCTGCATGTGATGCAAACTGGTAAGTGGTCTCCCTGTCTTTAGCTTGACTCAGGAGTTTTATCACCATATTTTCTCCACCCACCTCCAGAAAGTAAGAGTTGGCTGACAGCCAGCCAAGTTAAACCTACCACAACTTGTGAACAGGCAAGAGGGAGTGGAGGAACTTGATGTTGTCTAGGTGCCCTGGGGTACCTCTCACTGTGGTCCCTGCAGGGTGCAGTAATACAGTGCATTGTCCTTCAGCTCCAGTGCATGGATGAACAATGTCCCAGAGCTCTCATCAGCCTTGCCGGAAAACCTCTTGCGGGCAAATGGGGCTGTGTGAATGTAGGAGCCTCCCCGGCCCTTGCTCTGGAGCAAGTACTGCAGGGACCCATTGGGATGCTGCCGGTACCAAGCCACGTAAATATAAGAGGCGTTGGAGCTGTAAGTACACTGCAAAGTCTCTGTTTGCCCTGCTTGTCCCCACACTGTAGTCCTCGTTGGTTGGATTTCATCACCCTGAACTGTACCTGAAACCACAGCAGAGTTAATCACCCACTTCTTCACTCTCACAGGCACATAAAAATGACCCACACACATCTTGATGGAAGCAGGCAATGCTGTTGCTAGAACCCAAATGCTTTTCAGTCCCCAAGGGAAAAAGGGAACAAGGGCAGGTGGAGATGAGCTGCAGGCACATTGGCCAAGATACTTGGGTGACAAGAAATGTGCTGAAATTCCTCCTCAGATTACAGTACTGTTTCTGGGACTATGGAGGAAGAAAGGGGTGGTTAAGAGAAAGGAACTTTTGCAGAAAGAACGAGGCCATCAGTGCTGTGTGGTAATGTTCCCTTTCTCCCTCCGACCAGCCCAAAGCTTGCCCAGCTCCTGCCATCCCTGCAGCTCATGCAGCCTTGGCTGTGAACTGGAAAAAGGTTTTTGTTAAAGCTCAGCTGGATTTTCTGTCCTTGTGCTAACACCACAGAAACTGCAGGCTGAGTCCTGAAGGCACAGGGCAGCCAGGGACTGATGCGCCTCAGACAAGAAGTCATCGAGGGAAGCCATGGCTTGGCCCTCCACTTCTGGCCCAAATTCAGTGTATGTGGAATCTGTGCTGATGAAGGATGCCCAGTCAACACTGCCACCTTGCCTGATTCTGGAACCCTGCCAGGAGGGGACCACGGAGCCCCCAGCCAGCTGCAGACCTCCACAACGCTCGGCTGTGCCCACACCCCTGTGGAAGGAAAGCACTTGGAACAAGGCAGTGTGTGCCCACAGAGGGAGGCGGATCCCCAGGAAACCTGATGCCCCTTGTCTGGGGCTGCCAGAGATAACAACCAATTTTCTCCCACTAAAGCCCCCGGCCAGGGGCACTGTCCTGACTGCCCTCCTCGGGACTCCGAAGGGGCTGCTCCCAAAGCCTCCCCGACCCCGACAGCCTCCCTCTCCCGCACACACCGGACACGACCCCGGCCCCGGCCCCGCTGCCCTCCCCGCCCGCCGCTCACCTGCCGGCCCCAAGGCCAAGGCCAAGGCCAGCAGCCGCGGCCCCAGCCCGCCCGCCATAGGGCCCTGCCGCGCCCGGCGGGAGGCGGACAGCAGCAGAGCGGGGCCAAGCTCGGGCCGCTCCTGCCCGCACCACAAGTCGGGTCCTCGCCGGGGCAGCGCCCACCGCTCCGCCCGCCCACGCCCGGCCCACACCGCCCCCCGCGGGGCCGCGGCCCCTCTTGTCCTATCGCTCGTTATCAGCGAGAACAGGCCGGCCCACAGCTCCCCACAACTTCCTTTCAGGGAGCGGGAGAGAGGCCTCCACTAAGCAGACCGAGCCTCAACTTCTCCGGACTGAAAGGAGAAGCCTTCTCCACTCCACATAGGCATGTCCACTGGTACGTCTTTCATAGCAGTATCTCCCCAGGCACTGCATCGTGGGGTATCTGTGGCCTGATGGATCCTGTACTTTTGGTCTAACTCCAGCACAACCGATTGATGCTCAGGGGTGACCTGCTTCTGCATCACCTCTGTGCTGACAGCTCAGTCACATCACAGTATTGAAGACAGCTAAACGTTGTTCTTAGATTTTGGAACCACTGGGGGCTTGGGACTCTTTGTAATGTCAGTCCACTTTACAGGTTCTTTCACAAAGCAGAAGGCATTGGTATTTTTTAAAATAAGGTCAGCACTTCACCTCCTATTACCCTTGCTTTCCAGTGAGCCATGACTCAGACTTCACATGGGACAATTTTCCGAGATTTTAGGGAATTCCACAATGTATTCTCTAACCTTTTTATACATAGCCCTCCTCCCACTCTTGTACGCAGAAAAGAAGAACCACCCCTCTTGCACCAGACACAGTCACACTGACATGCAAATCATTTCTACTTTAAACTGGCAGATCATGTACTTGGGAAAATTTAAAAAATATATATTTGTACCTCTGATCATTTTTGTGACACTCCTGTGGACCTGCTCTAACAGATCAACATCCTTCTTGTGCTGGGGGCTCCAGACATGGAAACAGTACTCCAAGTAAGCCATCACAAGGGCAGATTACAGGGAGACAACCACCTCCCTCGATCTGATGGCCACTCCTCTTTTAATGCAACCCAGGATGCCTTTGGCCTTCTGGGCTGCAAGCCACACATTGACACCTCATGTGAAGCTTTTCATCCAGCAGAATCCCGAAGTCCTTCTCAGCAGGGCTGCACTCTAGGAGTTCTTCATCCAGTCTGTACTCATGTCAGGGATTGCCCCAGCCCAGTTGTAGCACCTTACACTTAGACTTGTGGAACCTCATTAGGTTCATGTGTGCCCACTTCTCAAGCATGTCCAGGTCCCTTTGGGTGGCATCCCTTCTTTCTATTCTGTCAACAACAGAATTTGCCTACAGGACAAAGTGTGTGGATTTTCTGTGAGGGCTGGCATGCACAGGCATATCTATTGTTCTACATAGCCCACTCTCAAAGGGATTTTGCTTGTAATTTCCTGAGAGCTTAGCCTCTTCCTCTGGACAGGTACACTGTAGCTACTTGCTGCCTCCTGGGTACTTGCAGTGCAATTAGGATGAGCCATAGCCTGAGGCTAGGGTGGGAGAGAAGATTTTTGAGCAAAAAGGGATTGTCCGAATGTTTCCCATACTATCTTCTATGGAGTATCTCCTAGAGAAAGACCTTAGGCGCACTGCAGGAGATTCAGCAATCCCATTCTCTGCAGCAACTGTACAGGCCTAGGGCTGTAGCAGCCTCCTTGGCCCTTGTCTGGAGCAAGTACTGCCAACTGGGATGCTGCTGGTGACAGGCCATGTAAATGTAAGAAATGCTGGACCTATAAATGCATCACAGGGTCTCTGTGTACTGTGCTCAGCCCCGCAATGCAGACTTCATTGCTTGGATCTTACTGCCCTGAAACACAACTGGAGTCACAGCACAGCTCTTCACACAACTACTTTTCCTTTTCCAGCTCATGGAAATGGCACAGGGACGGATCACTGAGGGAAGTAACAATGGAAATAGGCAACATTTTTTCTAAAGCCCAAGTGAAGAAGTAGACCAAAGGCAGGCAGAGAGGGGCTGAAGCCAGCTAAACTACGCAAGCTACTTTGGTGACCAGAAATATGCTGAGCATCCTCTTCAGATTACATTATGGGTTTGGGGTACTTCAGAGAAAGAGCGTAGTGTTAAGAGAAAGGAGCTCTTGCAGAAAGGACAGGGCCTTCTGTGGTATACAGTGATGCACCCTTGCTCCCTGGGAGCAGCCTACAGCGGACACAACCCAGGTGAGCTCTGCAGCTCGCACAGTCCTGGCCATGCCCTGCAAAGGGATTTTTGTTAAAGCTCTGTTGGATTTCCTGTCCCTGTGTGAATAGCACAGAAATAGCGGGCTGAGTCCCCCACATGCAGATGCTGGAGGAACAGAGATGACTCGGACCGTGAATTGTCCCGGGAGGCTGTGGCTCGACCTTGTACTGCAGCCCCGTATTTCTTTGTAGCACCAGATAGCCCGCTGATGTAAGACACCCACTCAGGACTGCCACCGGGTGCCTGACGGTACCACCGTATAGCAAATGAACTGAAGGTGAATCCGGATCCCTGGCAGGAGAGCTTCACGGAGTTCCCAGGTGTTTTCACACCTCCGCCAGATTCCACCAACCTCCACTGAGCCCACACACCTGCAGCAGAGCACATGGAGTAGGGCAGTGTGTGCACACAGAAAGAAGAGGATGCTAAACAGAAGGCCCACCAACCCCAGACCAGCACAGCCTAAGCCACTAACCCCTTACTCTTGAGAAAGCCACTCACCAGGTGCACTGCCCCGACTGCCCTCCTCGGGGCTCAGACGAGGCTGCTCCCAAAGCCTTCCCGACCGCGACAGCCTCCCTCTCCCGCACACACCGGACCCGCTGCCCTCCCCGCCCGCCGCTCACCTGCCGGCCCCAAGGCCAAGGCCAAGGCCAGCAGCCGCGGCCCCAGCCCGCCCGCCATCGGGCCCTGCCGCGCCCGGCGGGAGGCGGACAGCAGCAGAGCGGGGCCAAGCTCGGGCCGCTCCTGCCCGCACCACAAGTCGGGCCCTCGCCGGGGCAGCGCCCACCGCTCCGCCCGCCCACGCCCGGCCCACACCGCCCCCCGCGGGGCCGCGGCCCCTTCGGCGGACGAGGAGGCGGCCGCGGGGCGGGGCGCGGGGCAGCTCGGCGGGCAGCGGAGGAGCGCGGCGCCCCAGCAGCCGGACGCAGGGAGGGAGCCTCCTGGCCCTGCCCTTCACTTGAACAAAACTGACTCCACAATCAGTAAGATTGTAACGTAGGTATGTTTAGTCAGCGCTGGGCAGCACGGGGGGTAGTCCCGTCAGAAAAGTGCTCACCTGACACCGCAACTTGCCTTGCTTATATGCGGTAAAGAGCTACCTATGCATGAAGTTTCACAATACGCCCTTACGTATTCATTACCTGTCCCCACTTCCTATTAAAATTTATTCCACGGAGTCATTTCCATAAACTCCTCCCATCTGCGCTTGTGTAGTGTAATCCGGTGGTGGTTGTCAGGGGTCGTGGCAATGAAGACTGATGACTCTTCCTCCTCACCACTAGTTGACCTCTTGTCTTTGCACAGACTCAGTTGCTCCTTGGCTCTTGTCCATCCGCAGCACCAGTTTCTACCAGTTTCCTAAAATAGGCTCACACTCTTATTAAGAGACTGACCTTCGTAAGGGGCACAAGGCTTCTTGCTTTAGTTAATTTGCACAATGCACCATAGGTAGCAAAGACACTAAGCAGCATCCTAGTTTAATGCCGTTAGCGCTTTAACGTTACTTGATAAGATTCTCCTAACTCCCTCTCTCAGCCTCACCGTCAGCTGGCCAGTAGACCAACAACTAACACATCGGAAGAGATGCCCCTGAGGCTAACTAGAAGAAAAGTCACAATTCAACCTGGTGTGTCTCAAACATTTTGAGCACATTCCGGGAGAATTTGATATTGGAGGGTTGACTCATGCATATGTCCTATTTGGATTAAGGCCTTAACAAAACAATAAATTGAAAATATCTCTCTGGAACCTCTACAGAACTAAAAACGAAAAACACAACAACAACAATAGAAACCAAAAAAAAAAAACAAAAAACAAAAAACAAAAAATCCTTTCTTTATTTCTTTCTTTCTTTCTTTCTTTCTTTCTTGTAAGGACTGCTCTGCAACAATTATAACATCAATGTGTTATCAACATTATTTTCACCCTAAGTACAAGACACAGCACCCTACCAGACACTTGGAGGAAAATTAACTCTATCCTAGACAAAACCAGCATTCTGGCTCACTTGTAATGACAGATTTCTTGAGTAGTCCCGCTACCTAAGAGAATCCCTGGACACCCCTCTACTGGTGCATCAAGCTCTGGCAGCAGAGGCCAAAGCTGCAATCTGTCCCAGCCCACGTCCTGGCTGGCCCCTTTGCTGGGGCACGCAAGTGAGCATGGAGAGGGTGAGAAGCCCCAGTAGGAGGTTCATGTCAGGGAACACTTCAGCTTTCTATCCCCACAGAGGCAGCACAAAAGCAGCGAGTGCAGTCCCAGGCATGCAGGGCATGCAGGACAATACATTTCAACACCTAGAAACTCTCCCAGGAGATGGTGGGCTGCACACCCACACATGGCAGCCTTCCATAAGGTCTAGGAAAAGGAATTTTTGCTCTAGACAGAGACCAAGAGGAATGTGGACCTGTGTGTATGCTGCTGTCATGAGATGCTATAGTCATTCACAAACAGCCTGCATCCCCAGCTGGTGACGTGCACAGAAATCACAAAACCATAGAATCATTAAGGCTAGAAAAGACCTGTAAGATCATCAAGTCCAACCATCAAGCTCACCTACCAAATCCTGATATGGATAGAATAAAAATAACATGCACTTAGTGTCCATCCTGCTTCCCACTGCCCTGCAGACTCCTTGGTGGATGAGGAGGTGAGCATACAGCAGAGAGCAGGGTGGGAAGGAGTCAGAGGCTCCTCCAGCACCTACAGCAGCCAGAGGCTGCAATATACGTAGCCTCTGTGGCAGCAATATATGTAGGAAAGGTGAGGGGCCCTGGCACTAGGTTTGTGTTAAAGCTCAGCTGGATTTCCTGTCCCTGTGCGAACTGCACAGAAGTAGTGGGCTGAGTCCTGGGGTACCAGGGAGCTCAGGGACAGAGAAGACTTGGATTGGGAATCGTCCCGGGAGACACTGGCTCGGCCCTTCACTGCTTTGCCATATTCTACAGTGCTACCATAAAAGTTAATGAAGGACACCCACTCAAGACTTCCACCGGGTGCCTGACGGTACCACAAGACAGGATAATTTTCAAAGGTGAATCCAGATCCCTGGCAGGAGAGATGCACGGAGTCTCCAGGTGCTCGCAGACCTCCACCAGACTCCACCAGCTTCAATTCAGCCCAAATGCCTGAAGAAAGAGATCAAAGGGAGTATGTATGCGTGTGCTCACAGACGGAAGATCCTTTCCAGAAGCTACAGCAACTCCAACCCAGCACAGAAAAAAATGCCAACACACTTGCTTCACAAAAAGCCCCTGGCCAGGGGCAATGCCCCGACTAACCTCCTCGGGGCTGATCCCAAAGCGTCCCCGACCCCGACAGCCTCCCTCTCCCGCACACACTGGACACGGCCCCCTACCAATCTGCCCTCCCCGCCGGCCGCTCACCTGCCGGCCCCAAGGCCAAGGCCAAGGCCAAGGCCAGCAGCCGCGGCCCCAGCCCGCCCGCCATCGGGCCCTGCCGCGCCCGGCGGGAGGCGGACAGCAGCAGAGCGGGGCCAAGCTCGGGCCGCTCCTGCCCGCACCACAAGTCGGGCCCTCGCCGGGGCAGCGCCCACCGCTCCGCCCGCCCACGCCCGGCCCACACCGCCCCCCGCGGGGCCGCGGCCCCTTCGGCGGACGAGGAGGCGGCCGCGGGGCGGGGCGCGGGGCAGCTCGGCGGGCAGCGGAGGAGCGCGGCGCCCCGGCAGCCGGACGCAGGGAGGGAGCCTCCTGGCCCTGCCCTCCCGGCGCTGTCCCGGCCTCGAGCCCCGCGCAGCCCGGCAGGAGGGACCCGGCAGTGCCACGCCGGAGCCACACGGAAAAGCTGCTCGTCTGCTCGCTGCCTGCTGTGGCCATGGGGGCCGGCAGCAAAAGCCACATCTCTTCCATCCTGCAGCTGCAAGCACCCGTGCTCAGGAGCTCTTGGTCCCATTGCAGCCTGAGCACTGACATTACTGTCAGGGAGGGGGAAAGAGGAAGACAGCCAGGACACGAGGCTAAGCACGAGCTCATCATGAGCCCCAGATTTCCATTTAATTGCCTTGAGAGGACTGAGGAGAAGGCATATGAAAATGTACAAAAGAAGAAGCCTCGTGTTCTTGGTGTGGACTCAGACTCACCATCAACTGCCTGTGAACTGTCAACCCATCCATGAGCAGGACTGCTACAGATGCTAATTGCCACATTGGTATTTGAACCAGTGCCAATCCAGTATTGTGGGATCCAGTGGGGTTTGTCTCCAGGGAGACAAACACCTCCCTCAACATGATAGCCACTCATTTAATGCAGCCCAGAATGCAGTTGGCCTTCTGGGCTGCAAGCCGCGCACTGATGCTTCATGTCAAGCTTTTTATCAAGCAGAACCCCCAAGTCCTTCTCAGCAGGGCTGCTCTCTAGGAGTTCTTCATCCAGTCTCTACTCACATCTGCACCTATAAATGCATCAAAGGGTCTCTGTGTACTGTGCTCATCCCTGCAATGCAGACCTCATGTGGGGTACTTGCAGTGCAATTAGGATGAGCCGTAGCCTGAGGCTAGGGTCGGAGAGAAGATTTTTAAGCAACAAGGGATTCTCCCAATCTTTCCCATTTTCTATGGAGTATCTCCTAGAGAAAGACCTTGGGCATACTGCAGGAGATTCAGCAATCCCATTCTCTGCAGCAACTGTACAGGCCTAGGGCTGTAGCAGCCTCCTTGGCCCTTGTCTGGAGCAAATACTGCCAACTGGGATACTGTTGGTGACAGGCCATGTAAATGTAAGAAACGCTAGACCTATAAGTGCATCACACGGTCTCTGTGTACTGTGCTCAGCCCCGCAATGCAGACTTCATTGCTTGGATCTTACTGCCCTGAAACACAATTGGAGTCACAGCACAGCTCTTCACACAACTGCTTTTCCTTTTCCAGCTCATGGAAATGGCACAGGGAAGGGTCACTGAGGGAAGTAACAATGGAAATAGGCAACATTTTTTCTAAAGCCCAAGTGAAGAAGTAGACCAAAGGCAGGCAGAGAGGGGCTGAAGGCAGCTAAACTACGCAAGCTATTTTGGTGACCAGAAATATGCTGAACAACTTCTTCAGATTACATTATGGGTTTGGGGGACTTCGGAGAAAGAAAGTAGTGTTAAGAGAAAGGAGCTCTTGCAGAAAGGACAGGGCCTTCTGTGGTATACAGTGATGCACCCTTGCTCTCTGGGAACGGCCTACAGCTGACACGGCCCAAACCAGCCCTGCAGCTCACGCAGTCCTGGCAATGCCCTGCATGTGATGCAAACTGGTAAGTGGTCTCCCTGTCTTTAGCTTGACTCAGGAGTTTTATCACCATATTTTCTCCACCCACCTCCAGAAAGTAAGAGTTGGCTGACAGCCAGCCAAGTTAAACCTACCACAACTTGTGAACAGGCAAGAGGGAGTGGAGGAACTTGATGTTGTCTAGGTGCCCTGGGGTACCTCTCACTGTGGTCCCTGCAGGGTGCAGTAATACAGTGCATTGTCCTTCAGCTCCAGTGCATGGATGAACAATGTCCCAGAGCTCTCATCAGCCTTGCCGGAAAACCTCTTGCGGGCAAATGGGGCTGTGTGAATGTAGGAGCCTCCCCGGCCCTTGCTCTGGAGCAAGTACTGCAGGGACCCATTGGGATGCTGCCGGTACCAAGCCACGTAAATATAAGAGGCGTTGGAGCTGTAAGTACACTGCAAAGTCTCTGTTTGCCCTGCTTGTCCCCACACTGTAGTCCTCGTTGGTTGGATTTCATCACCCTGAACTGTACCTGAAACCACAGCAGAGTTAATCACCCACTTCTTCACTCTCACAGGCACATAAAAATGACCCACACACATCTTGATGGAAGCAGGCAATGCTGTTGCTAGAACCCAAATGCTTTTCAGTCCCCAAGGGAAAAAGGGAACAAGGGCAGGTGGAGATGAGCTGCAGGCACATTGGCCAAGATGCTTGGGTGACAAGAAATGTGCTGAAATTCCTCCTCAGATTACAGTACTGTTTCTGGGACTATGGAGGAAGAAAGGGGTGGTTAAGAGAAAGGAACTTTTGCAGGAAGGACGAGGCCATCAGCGGTGTGGTAATGTTCCCTTTCTCCCTGCAACCAGCCCAAAGCTCCCCCAGCTCCTGCCATCCCTGTAGCTCATGCAGCCTTGGTTGTGAACTGGAAAGAGGTTTTTGTTAAACCTCAGCTGGATTTTCTGTCCTTGTGCTAACATCACAGAAACTGCAGGCTGAATCCTGAAGGCACAGGGAAGTCAGGGACTGATGCGCCTCAGACAAGAAGTCATCGAGGGAAGCCATGGCTTGGCCCTCCACTTCTGGCCCAAATTCAGTGTATGTGGAATCTGTGCTGATGAAGGATGCCCACTCAACACTGCCACCTTGCCTGATTCTGGAACCCTGCCAGGAGGGGACCACGGAGCCCCCAGCCAGCTGCAGACCTCCACAACGCTCGGCTGTGCCCACACCCCTGTGGAAGGAAAGCACTTGGAACAAGGCAGTGTGTGCCCACAGAGGGAGGCGGATCCCCAGGAAACCTGATGCCCCTTGTCTGGGGCTGCCAGAGATAACAACCAATTTTCTCCCACTAAAGCCCCCGGCCAGGGGCACTGTCCTGACTGCCCTCCTCGGGACTCCGAAGGGGCTGCTCCCAAAGCCTCCCCGACCCCGACTGCCTCCCTCTCCCGCACACACCGGACACGGCCCCGGCCCCGGCCCCGCTGCCCTCCCCGCCCGCCGCTCACCTGCCGGCCCCAAGGCCAAGGCCAAGGCCAGCAGCCGCGGCCCCAGCCCGCCCGCCATCGGGCCCTGCCGCGCCCGGCGGGAGGCGGACAGCAGCAGAGCGGGGCCAAGCTCGGGCCGCTCCTGCCCGCACCACAAGTCGGGCCCTCGCCGGGGCAGCGCCCACCGCTCCGCCCGCCCACGCCCGGCCCACACCGCCCCCCGCGGGGCCGCGGCCCCTCTTGTCCTATCGCTCGTTATCAGCGAGAACAGGCCGGCCCACAGCTCCCCACAACTTCCTTTCAGGGAGCGGGAGAGAGGCCTCCACTAAGCAGACCGAGCCTCATCTTCTCCGGACTGAAAGGAGAAGCCTTCTCCACGCCACATAGGCATGTCCGCTGGTACGTCTTTCATAGCAGTATCTCTCCAGGCACTGCATCGTGGGGTGGATGTAGCCTGATGGATCCTGTATTTTTGGTCTAACTCCAGCACAACCGATTGATGCTCAGGGGTGACCTGCTTCTGCATCACCTCTGTGCTGACAGCTCAGTCACATCACAGTATTGAAGACAGCTAAACGTTGTTCTTAGATTTTGGAACCACTGGGGGCTTGGGACTCTTTGTAATGTTAGTCCACTTTACAGGTTCTTTCACGAAGCAGAAGGCATTGCTATTTTTTTAAAATAAGATCAGCACTGCCCCTCCTATTACCCTTGCTTTCCAGTGAGCCATGACTCAGACTTCACATGGGACAATTTTCCGAGATTTTAGGGAATTCCACAATGTATTCTCTAACCTTTTTATATATAGCCCTCCTCCCACGCTTGTACACAGAAAAGAAGCACCACCCCTCCTCACACACACACACAGTCACACAGACGCGAAAAGCATTGGTGCTTTAAACTGGCGGATCATGTACTATGAGAAAAAAAAATGTTGTACTCATTTTGGTTATTGCCTTTTCAAATTCTTGTTCTTCAAAGGTTTACCTGGAAGACAGGACCTAATACCACCTGTCGTGGTTTAACCCGGCTGGCAGCTAAACACCACGCAGCCGTTCGCTCACCCTCCCCCCTCCCTCTCTGGGACGGGGGAGAGAAATGGAAAGTGAAGCCCGTGAGTTGAGATAAAGACAGTTTAATAAGACAGGAAAATAATAATAACAAAATAATAGTAAAAATAATAACAATAATAATACAATGGTGATAATAGGAAAGTAATAATAGTATGTACAAACAAGTGATGCACAATGCAATTGCTCACCACTCGCTGACCGATGCCCAGCCTAACCCCGAGCAGTCCGGCCCCTTCCCCCCAGCTAGCCACCCCTATATATTGTTTAGCATGACGTCAGATGGTATGGAATACCCCTTTGGCTAGTTTGGGTCACCTGTCCTGGGTCTGTCCCCTCCCAGCTCTTACTGCACCCCCAGCCTGCCCGTTGGCAGGACAGAGCAAAAGGCTGAGATGTCCTTGGCTTAGTATAAGCACTGCTCTGCAACAATTAAAGCATCGGGGTGTTATCAGCACTCTTCTCATCCTAAGCCAAAACACAGCATTCCACCAGCTACTAGGAAGAAAATTAATTCTGTGCTAACTGAAACCAGGACACCACCTTAGCACAATGCTTCAGTTTTCAGGCTTTTCATACTCGGTTATACACTAATTTAATAGTCATAGAACAGCTTGGGATGGAAGGGACACCAAAAACCATTTAATTCCAACCCCCTGCCATAGGCAGGGATGCCACCCAAGAGATCAGGTTGATTAGAGCCTTATCCAACCTGGTCTTGAACACCTCCAAGGGTGGGGCATCCACAACATCTCTGGGCAACCTGTACCAGTGCCTCACCACCCTCTGAGTGAAGAAAGTGGTGCCCCACCTGGGCCCTCCTAACCCCTCATCTAAATCTCCACTCTTTTAGTTTAAAACCATTCCCCCTCATCCTGTCAACATCCAAATGAGTAAAGAGTTGCTCTCCATCCCTTCTACAAGCCCCCGTCAAATACTAAAAGGTTGCAATGAGGTCACCTGCAAGCTTTTGCTTCTGTGGGATAAACAGCCCCAGATCTCTCAGCCTTTTTTCATATGAGACCTGCTCCAGCCCCATGACCATATTTGTGGCACTCCTCTGGACCTGCTCTAACAGATCAACATCCTTCTTGTGCTGGGAGCTCCAGACCTTTACACAGTACTCCAAGTGGGGCATAATAGGGGGAGATTAGAGGCAGACAATCAACTATCTCTACCTACACCCACTCCTCTATTACTGCAGCACAGGATGCAGTTAGCTTCAGTTGCTCACTTGAGAGAAAGGGGTGATTAAGAGAAAGGAACACTTACAGAAAGGACAGGGCCATCTGTGATGCACCCTTGCTCCCTGGAAGCAGCCCACAGCTTACACAGCCCAAACCAGCCCTGCAGCTAACACAGTACTGGCCATGCCCTGCAAAGGGATTTTTGTTAAAGCTCTGCTGGATTTCCTGTCCCTGTGCGAACAGCACAGAAATAGCGGCCTGAGTCCCCCACATGCAGATGTTGGAGGGACAGAGACGACTTGGCCTGTGAATTGTTCCGGGAGGCTGCGGCTCGACCATCTACTGTAGCCCCGTATTGCTTTACAGTACCAGACCGGCTGCTGATGTAAGACACCCACTCGAGACCACCACCGCGTGCCTGACGGAACCAGCGGACAGAATAATCTTCGAAGTTGGGTACGGACACCTGGCAGGAAAGCTGCATGGAGTCTCCAGATGCTCGCAGACCTCCACCAGACTCCACCAGACTCAACTGAGTCCAAACGCCTGCAGAAGGAGAGCACAGAGACTGGGGCAGTGTGTGGCCAAGGATAGAGGAGGATGCTGTCTAGACGCTCCAGTGACTCCAGCACAGCACAACCTGTAACACCATCCCCGTTGCTCCCAACAAAGCCCATGGCCAGGGGCACTGCCCCGACTGCCCTCCTCGGGACTCAGCCGGGGCTGCTCCCAAAGACTCCCGGACCTGGACAGCCTACCATTCCCGCACACACAGTACGCTCCAAAACGACGACGGAGAGCGCCGGACCCCAGTACGCCCGGAGGGGCAGCACCAGGAGACGCTCCACGTCGGTCACGGCCATTCGCTGGCCCAGCCCCGACACGTTTCAGCCCCAGCCCCAACCCCGCCCAGGGCCCGATGCCCTCGCCTCCCGCCGCTCACCTGCCGGCCCCAAGGCCAAGGCCAAGGCCAGCAGCCGCGGCCCCAGCCCGCCCGCCATAGGGCCCTGCCGCGCCCGGCGGGAGGCGGACAGCAGCAGAGCGGGGCCAAGCTCGGGCCGCTCCTGCCCGCACCACAAGTCGGGCCCTCGCCGGGGCAGCGCCCACCGCTCCGCCCGCCCACGCCCGGCCCACACCGCCCCCCGCGGGGCCGCGGCCCCTTCGGCGGACGAGGAGGCGGCCGCGGGGCGGGGCGCGGGGCAGCTCGGCGGGCAGCGGAGGAGCGCGGCGCCCCGGCAGCCGGACGCAGGGAGGGAGCCTCCTGGCCCTGCCCTTGACTTGAACAAAACTGACTCCACAATCAGTAAGATTGTAACGTAGGTATGTTTCTTCAGCGCTGGGCAGCACGGGGAGTAGTCCCGTCAGAAACGTGCTCACCTGACACCGCAACTTGCCTTGCTTATATGCGGTGAAGTGTTACCTATGCATGAAGTTTCACAATACGTCTATATGTATTCATAACGTGTCCCCACTTCGTATTAAAATTAGTTCCACGGAGTCATTTCCATAAACTCCTCCCATCTGCGCTTGTGTAGTGTAATCTGGTGGTGGTCATCGGAGGTCGTGGCAATGAAGACTGACGACTCTTCCTCCTCACCGCCAGTTGACCTCTTGTCTTTGCGCAGACTCAGTTGCTCCTTGGCTCTTGTCCATCCGCAGCACCAGTTTCTACCAGTTTCCTAAAATAGGCTCACACTCTTATTAAGAGACCGACCTTGGTAAGGGGCACAAGGCTTCTTGCTTTAGTTAATTTGCACAATGCACCACAGTTAGCAAAGACACTAAGTAGCATCCTAGTTTAATGCCGTCAGTGCTCTATCGCTACTTGAAAAGATTCTCCTAACTCCCTCTCTCAGCCTCACCGTCAGCTGGCCGGTAGACCAACAACCAACACATCGGAAGAGATGCCCCTGAGGCTAACCAGAAGAAAAGTCACAATTCAACCTGGTGTGTCTCAAACATTTTGAGCACATTCCGGGAGAATTTGATAATTGAGGGTTGACTCATGCATATGTCCTATTTGGATTAAGGCCTTAATAAAACAATAAATTGAAAGCATCTCCCTGGAAGCTGTACCACACTAAAACCAAAAAAAAAACCACAACAACACAACAACAACAAAAGGAACCAACAAAAAAAAATCATTTCTTTCTCTCTTTCTTTCTTTCTTTCTTTCTTGTAAGGACTGCTCTGCAACAATTACAACATCACTGAGTTATCAACATTATTTTCATCCTAAGTACAAAACACAGCACCCTACAAGACACTTGGAGGAAAATTAACTCTACCCTAGACACAACCAGCATTCTGGCTCACTTGTAATGAGGGATTTCTTGAGTAGTCCCACTACCTGGAAGAATCCCTGGACACCCCTCTACTGGTGCATCAAGCTCTGGCAGCACAGGCCAAAACTGCAATCTGTCCCAGCCCACGTCCTGGCTGGCCCCTTTGCTGGGGCACGCAAGTGAACATGGGGAGGGTGAGAAGCCCCAGTAGGAGGTTCATGTCAGGGAACACTTCAGCTTTCTATCCCCACAGAGGCAGCACAAAAGCAGCAAGTGCAGTCCCGGGCATGCAGGGCATGCAGGACAATACATTTCAACACCTAGAAACTGTCCCAGGAGGTGGTGGGCTACACACCCACACATGGCAGCCTTCCATAAGGTGTAGGGAAAGGAATTTTTGCTCTAGACAGAGACCAAGAGGAATGTGGACCTGTGTGCCTGCTGGTATCCTGAGATGCTATAGTCATTCACAATCAGCCGGCATCCCCAGCTGGTGACGTGCATGGAAATCACAGAACCGTAGAATCATTAAGGCTGTAAGATCATCAAGTCCAACCATCAAGCTCACCTACCAAATCCTGATACGGATAGAATAAAAAGAACATGCACTTAGTGTCCATCCTGCTTCCCACTGCCCTGCAGACTCCTTGGTGGATGAGGAGGTGAGCATGCGGCAGAGAGTGCGGTGGGAAGGAGTCAGAGGCTCCTCCAGCACCTACAGCAGCCAGAGGCTGCAATATATGTAGCCTCTGTGGCAGCAATATATGTAGGAGAGGTGAGGGGCCCTGGCACTAGGTTTGTGTTAAAGCTCAGCTGGATTTCCTGTCCCTGTGCGAACTGCACAGAAGTAGTGGGCTGAGTCCTGGGGTACCAGGGAGCTCAGGGACAGAGAAGACTTGGACTGGGAATTGTCCCGGGAGACACTAGCTCGGCCCTTCACTGCTTTGCCATATTCTACAGTGCTACCATCATAGCTAATGAAGGACACCCACTCAAGACTTCCACCGGGTGCCTGACGGTACCACAAGACATGATAATTTCCAAAGGTGAATCCAGATCCCTGGCAGGAGAGATGCACGGAGTCTCCAGGTGCTCGCAGACCTCCACCAGACTCCACCAGCTTCAATTCAGCCCAAACGCCTGAAGAAAGATATCAAAGGGAGTATATATGTGTGTGCTCACAGACGGAAGATCCTTTCCAGAAGCTACAGCAACTCCAACCCAGCACAGACAAAAACGAAAACCCGCTTGCTCCACACAAAGCCCCTGGCTAGGGGCACTGCCCCGACTGCCCTCCTAGAGACTCAGACGGGGCTGCTCCCAAAACCTCCCCGACCCCGACAGCCTCCCTCTCCCGCACACACCGGACACGGCCCCGGCCGCGCTGCCCTCCCTGCCCGCCGCTCACCTGCCGGCCCCAAGGCCAAGGCCAAGGCCAGCAGCCGCGGCCCCAGCCCGCCCGCCATCGGGCCCTGCCGCGCCCGGCGGGAGGCGGACAGCAGCAGAGCGGGGCCAAGCTCGGGCCGCTCCTGCCCGCACCACAAGTCGGGCCCTCGCCGGGGCAGCGCCCACCGCTCCGCCCGCCCACGCCCGGCCCACACCGCCCCCCGCGGGGCCGCGGCCCCTTCGGCGGACGAGGAGGCGGCCGCGGGGCGGGGCGGGGCGCGGGGCAGCTCGGCGGGCAGCGGAGGAGCGCGGCGCCCCGGCTCGTGCCTGGTGTTTGCCTCGGACGACCCGAGCAGCCTGGATGCACAAAACCGAGTGACCTCCATGAAGAAATCCACCTGCAAGCCGCAATCCCCTGCTCCGCTGCAGATCACGACTGCCTCAGAATCGATCGCCTGGCGAGACACATGATAAATCATCTCTAACTCACTCAGCCTCATTGACCTCCCGGGAAACTAGTGCTTCTTCCACAGCAAATAAATTCAGCAGTTCATCTCTTCTGCACAAGAAAATAGTCCCATTTAGGATCAGAGGGAAAAGCTGTCCAGTGTTTAACCATGGAATCATAGAAACATGGAGAACGACACCTCCTTGCTGCAACCTTCTCTCAGACAGCTGCAGAGAATGATCAGGTCTCCCCTCAGCCTACTTTTCTCTACACTAAAAAAAACTGTTCTCTCGGGTGCTGATGAGAACACTTGCTTTCTAGTCCCCTCACCAGCTTTGTTGCTCTTTGCACATATGCAAGCAACTCAATATCCTTCTGTGGTTGTTTCACTTGGGTGGACAGCCGAGTTCCCCCACAGCTGCTCTCTCACTCCCCCTCCTCAAAGAAAAAGGGGTAGAACAAACAACACAAAGGGCTCAAGGTCTTAGATGAGGATGATTTAATTAGAGGGAAATGGAAGAAGAAAAAAAAAAAAAAAAAAAAAAAAGGAAAACGCAGTACAGAAGCACAGAGAGAGAAAAGCTGTTACTCTCTACTTCTCATCAACGAGCAACATACAACCACATCCTGGGAAGCAGGGCGCCGCGGCCCCTTCGGCGGAGGAGGAGGCGGCCGCGGGGCGGGGCGTGGGGCAGCTCGGCGGGCAGTGGAGGAGCGCGGAGCCCCGGTAGCCGGAGGCAGGGAGGGAGCCTCCTGGCCCTGCCCTCCCGGCGCTACCCCAGTTTCAAGCCTTGAGCCCCGCGCAGCCCAGCAGGAGGGACCCGGCAGTGCCGTTCCGGAGCCACACGGAAAAGCTGCTCGGCCGCTCGCTGCCTGCGGTGCCCACGGGAGCCGACAGTGAGAGCCTCATCTCTGCCCTCCTGCAGCTGCAAGCACCCGCGCTCAGGAGCTCTTGCTCCCATCGCAGCCTGAGCACTGATATTACTATCAGGGAGAGGGAAATAGAGAAACAACCAGGGCCTGAAGCAGAGCAAAGTGTTTGTTGCCGATAGGTGGACTTTCAGTGGAGGGCTCTAGAGCAGGAACTACGGTGGAGGGAGAGAGGAGCCAGAAGCCCTGTGAGGGAGTGGCTGATGCAGCTGCTGAGCAGAAGGCATGGGCTGATGTGGCTGGGAGGATTCACAAAATCATCAAAATGCAGCTTAAGCAGGACAAGCACTTCCCTAGTCCTGATGGCCACACTGTTTCTGATGCAGGTCAGGATGCCATTGGCCTTCTTGGCCACAGGGGCACACTGCTGGCTCATGTTCAACTGGCTGTCAAACAAAATCTTCAGGTCCTTTTCTGTCAGGACACTTTCCATCCACTCTTCCCCAAGCTTGAATGGGCTTGTTACGTCTGTCAATCCCACAGAATGGGGTTGTTACTACCCGAGAGCAGCACTCGGCACTTCCTCTCATGAACAAGCCTGTGCAGCCCTTCTTGCTGCACTCCAGCTGACCTGGCCATTTGCCCCTGACACTGCTGCTATTACGTGCCCCGACAGGCAACGTGGGAAAGTTCTGATCTCAAGGCAGTCCTCTGCCCTCTTCAGCAAGTAAATATGGTTCTGTTGCCCCTCTTGTTCTCTGTGGCAGCAATGCACATAGGAAAGGCAAGGGGAGTAGGTTTCTGCTAAAGCGCAGCTGAATTTCCTGTCCCTGTGTGAACAGCAGAGAAGTAGCGGGCTGAGTCCTGGGACAACAGGGCATGAAGTGACAAATAAGCCTTGGACTGGGAATTGTCCCGGGAGACATTGGCTCGGCCCTCCACCGCTTTGCCGTAGTCTTTTGTATTACCAAATGCATTGATGAAGGACACCCACTCAATCCTGCCAAAAGGTGCCTGGCGGTACCACAGCACATGGTAACTTCTGAAGTTGAAGCCTGATCCCTGGCAGGAGAGGTGCACAGAGTTCCCAGCTGCTTGCAGACCTCCACCAGACTCTACCAACTTCCACTGTGCCCACACGCCTGCAGAAAGAGAGCAAAGGGAGTGGGGCAGTTTGTGCTCATGGATAGAAGAGGATGCTAACCAGAAGCCCCAGCAACCCCAGCCTGGCATAGTCTTAGCCACTAACTCACTTGTTCCCAAGAAAGACCCTGACTTGGTGAAGCCAATGTATCTTGGGAGCAGGTTTATGTTTAAGTCTGGCTGGATTTCCTGCTGCTGTGCGAACCACGCAGAAATAGTGGGCTGAGTCCTGGGGGTACAGGCCATGCAAAAGCAGAAATGCCACAGACCGGGAATTATTGCGGGAGGTAGTGGCTCTACCTTTTATCCCTGGCAGGTAATGAATGTCTGAAGAATCATAGCTGATGTAAGAGAGGCACTCAAGCCTGCCACTGGGTGCCTGACGGTACCACCAAAAATAATAGTTGATCAAAGTCAAGGCATATCCCTGGCAGGAGAGGAGTACGGAGTCCCCAGGTGCTCGAAGACCTCCGCCAGACTCCACAACCCTTGGCTGCGTCCACACCCCTGTGGAAAGACAGTGCATGGAACCAGACAGTGCAATGTTTCCCAGCTGCATATTTGCTCCCAGCACAGCCTGAGTGAACAAACCCGCTTGCTCCACACAAAGCCCCTGGCTAGGGACACTGCCCCGACTGCCCTCCTCGGGGCTCCGAAGGGGCTGCTCCTAAAGCCTCCCCGACCCCGACAGCCTCCCTCTCCCGCACACACCGGACACGGCCCCCTACCAATCTGCCCTCCCCGCCCGCCGCTCACCTGCCGGCCCCAAGGCCAAGGCCAAGGCCAGCAGCCGCGGCCCCAGCCCGCCCGCCATCGGGCCCTGCCGCGCCCGGCGGGAGGCGGACAGCAGCAGAGCGGGGCCAAGCTCGGGCCGCTCCTGCCCGCACCACAAGTCGGGCCCTCGCCGGGGCAGCGCCCACCGCTCCGCCCGCCCACGCCCGGCCCACACCGCCCCCCGCGGGGCCGCGGCCCCTTCGGCGGACGAGGAGGCGGCCGCGGGGCGGGGCGCGGGGCAGCTCGGCGGGCAGCGGAGGAGCGCGGCGCCCCGGCAGCTGGAGGCAGGCAGGGAGCCTCCTGGCCCTGCCCTTCACTTGAACAAAACTGACTCCACAATCAGTAAGATTGTAACGTAGGTATGTTTCTTCAGCGCTGGGCAGCATGGGGGGTAGTCCCATCAGAAACGTGCTCACCTGACACTGCAACTTGCCTTGCTTAAATGCAGTAAAGAGTTACCTATGCATGAAGTTTCACAGTATGCCCATACGTATTCATAACCTGTCCCCACTTCGTATTAAAATTAGTTCCACGGAGTCATTTCCATAAACTCCTCCCATCTGTGCTTGTGTAGTGTAATCTGGTGGTGGTCATCGGAGGTCGTGGCAATGAAGACTGACGACTCTTCCTCCTCACCACTAGTTGACCTCTTGTCTTTGCACAGACTCAGTTGCTCCTTGGCTCTTGTCCATCCGCAGCACCAGTTTCTACCAGTTTCCTAAAATAGGCTCACACTCTTATTAAGAGACTGACCTTGGTAAGGGGCACAAGGCTTCTTGCTTTAGTTAATTTGCACAATGCACCACAGTTAGCAAAGACACTAAGTAGCATCCTAGCTTAATTCCGTCAGAGCTCTATTGCTACTTGAAAAGATTCTCCTAACTCCCTCTCTCAGCCTCACCGTCAGCTGGCCGGTAGACCAACAACCAACACATCAGAAGGGATGCCCCTGAAGCTAACTAGAAGAAAAGTCACAATTCAACCTGGTGTGTCTCAAACATTTTGAGCACATTCCGGGAGAATTTGATAATTGAGGGTTGACTCATGCATATGTCCTATTTGGATTAAGGCCTTAATAAAACGATAAATTGAAAGTATCTCCCTGGAAGCTGTACCACACTAAAACCAAAAAAAAAAAAAACACAACAACACAACAAGAACAAAAGGAACCAACAAAAAAAAATCATTTCTTTCTCTCTTTCTTTCTTTCTTTCTTTCTTGTAAGGACTGCTCTGCAACAATTACAACATCACTGAGTTATCAACATTATTTTCACCCTAAGTACAAAACACAGCACCCTACCAGACACTTGGAGGAAAATTAACTCTATCCTAGACAAAACCAGCATTCTGGCTCACTTGTATTTCTTGATTACAAGATTACAATCTCACTTGGATTTCTTGAGTAGTCCCACTACCTGAAAGAATCCCTGGACACCCCTCTACTGGTGCATCAAGCTCTGGCAGCACAGGCCAAAGCTGCAATCTGTCCCAGCCCACGTCCTGGCTGGCCCCTTTGCTGGGGCACGCAAGTGAACATGGAGAGGGTGAGAAGCCCCAGTAGGAGGTTCATGTCAGGGAACACTTCAGCTTTCTATCCCCACAGAGGCAGCACAAAAGCAGCAAGTGCAGTCCCGGGCATGCAGGGCATGCAGGACAATACATTTCAACACCTAGAAACTGTCCCAGGAGGTGGTGGGCTGCACACCCACACATGGCAGCCTTCCATAAGGTGTAGGAAAAGGAATTTTTGCTCTAGACAGAGACCAAGAGGAATGTGAACCTGTGTGCCTGCTGGTATCCTGAGATGCTATAGTCATTCACAATCAGCCGGCATCCCCAGCTGGTGACGTGCATGGAAATCACAGAACCGTAGAATCATTAAGGCTGTAAGATCATCAAGTCCAACCATCAAGCTCACCTACCAAATCCTGATACGGATAGAATAAAAAGAACATGCACTTAGTGTCCATCCTGCTTCCCACTGCCCTGTGGACTCCTTGGTGGATGAGGAGGTGAGCATAGGGCAGAGAGCACGGTGGGAAGGAGTCAGAGGCTCCTCCAGCACCTACAGCAGCCAGAGGCTGCAATATATGTAGCCTCTGTGGCAGCAATATATGTAGGAGAGGTGAGGGGCCCTGGCACTAGGTTTGTGTTAAAGCTCAGCTGGATTTCCTGTCCCTGTGCGAACTGCACAGAAGTAGTGGGCTGAGTCCTGGGGTACCAGGGAGCTCAGGGACAGAGAAGACTTGGACTGGGAATTGTCCCGGGAGACACTGGCTCGGCCCTTCACTGCTTTGCCATATTCTACAGTGCTACCATCATAGCTAATGAAGGACACCCACTCAAGACTTAGACCGGGTGCCTGACGGTACCAATAGACATGATAATCTTTAAAGCTGATTCCGGATCCCTGGCAGGAGAGATGCACGGAGTCTCCAGGTGCTCGCAGACCTCCACCAGACTCCACCAGCTTCAATTCAGCCCAAACGCCTGAAGAAAGAGATCACAGTGAGCAGGGATGCGTGTGCCCACGGATGGAAGATCCTTTCCAGAAGCTACAGCAACTCGAGCCCAGCACAGACAGAAACGCCAACGTGCTTGCTCCACACAAAGCCCCTGGCTAGGGGCACTGCCCCGACTGCCCTCCTCGGGGCTCAGACGGGGCTGCTCCCAAAGCCTCCCCGACCCCGACAGCCTCCCTCTCCCGCACACACCGGACACGGCCCCCTACCAATCTGCCCTCCCCGCCCGCCGCTCACCTGCCGGCCCCAAGGCCAAGGCCAAGGCCAGCAGCCGCGGCCCCAGCCCGCCCGCCATCGGGCCCTGCCGCGCCCGGCGGGAGGCGGACAGCAGCAGAGCGGGGCCAAGCTCGGGCCGCTCCTGCCCGCACCACAAGTCGGGCCCTCGCCGGGGCAGCGCCCACCGCTCCGCCCGCCCACGCCCGGCCCACACCGCCCCCCGCGGGGCCGCGGCCCCTTCGGCGGACGAGGAGGCGGCCGCGGGGCGGGGCGCGGGGCAGCTCGGCGGGCAGCGGAGGAGCGCGGCGCCCCGGCACGAGCCTGGTGTTTCCCTCGGACGACCCGAGCAGCCTGGATGCACAAAACCGAGTGGCCTCCATGAAGAAATCCACCTGCAAGCCGCAATCCCCTGCTCCGCTGCAGAACAGGAGTGCCTCAGAACTGATCACCTGGCGAGACACATGATAAATCATCTCTAACTCACTCAGCCTCATTGACCTCCCGGGAAACTAGTGCTTCTTCCACAGCAAATAAATTCAGCAGTTCATCTCTTCTGCACAAGAAAATAGTCCCATTTAGGATCAGGGGGAAAAGCTGTCCAGTGTTTAACCATGGAATCATAGAAACATGGAGAACAACACCTCCTTGCTGCAACCTTCTCTCAGATAGCTGCAGAGAATGATCAGGTCTCCCCTCAGCCTGCTTTTCTCTACACTAAAAAAAAACAGTTCCCTCAGCTGCTGATGAGAACACTTGCTTTCTAGTCCCCTCACCAGCTTTGTTGCTCTTTGCACATATGCAAGCAACTCAATATCCTTCTGTGGTCGTTTTACTTGGGTGGACAGCCGAGTTCCCCCACAGCTGCTCTCTCACTCCCCCTCCTCAAAGAAAAAGGGGGAGAAAAAACAATACAAAGGCCTCAAGGTTTGACATAAGGATAATTTAATTAAAGGCAAAAATAAGAAGGGGAAAAAAAAAAAAGGCAAAGGCTGCACGGAAGCACAGAGAGAGAAAAGCAGTTACCCTCTACTTCCCATCAACGAGCAACATTCAGCCACATCCTGGGAAGCAGGGCCTCAATACACATAGTGGTTGTGTGGGAGAACACACCCTTCCACAACGAGGCCCCCCACCTCTCCTTCACCTTTCCCACATTTATTGCTCAGAGTGACATCATATGGCATGGAATAGACCTTTTGTCGATTTAGGTCAGCTGCCCCAGTGATGTCCCCTCCCCATCACTTACACACCCCCAGTCTGCTGGCTCTTGGGGGGTTGCAGGAGGACCTGATGCTGTGCCAGTATTGGGCAACAATAAACGAAACACTGCTGTGACACCAGTGACCTTCTACCTACAAGTGCAGGGCACAGTACTGTATGGGCTGCTGCAGGGAGAGATAGCATGCCAGCCAGACCCAGCACACCTCTTTGTAGTGAGGGGACCAAAATGAACCCAATGTCAGAGATGTGTTGTCACCAGAGCCACATACCAAAGGACCATTACTTCCCAACTCCTGATGGCCTCACTGTTTCTGATGAGATTGGCCTTCTTGACCGCAGGGGCACACCACTGGCCCATGTTCATCTGGCTGTCAAACAAAACCTTCAGGACCTCCTTGGCCAAGACACTTTCCATTCACTCTTCCACAAGCCTGAACGGGATTGTTACATCCATCAATCCCACAGAACGGGGATGTTAGGACCCAAGAGCAGCACTAGGCACTTCCTTTCATGAGGAAGCCTGTGCAGCCCTTCTTGCTGCACTCCAGCTGACCTGGCCTTTTGCCCCTGACACTGCTGTTGATCCCATGTGCCCCGACGGGCAAAGTGGGAAAGGGCTGAGCTGAAGGCAGTTCTTTGCCCTCTTCAGCATGTGAATATGGTTCTGCTGCTCCTCCTGGTTCTCTGTGGCAGCAATACATGTAGGAAAGGTGAGGGGCCCTGGCAGCAGGTTTGTGTTAAAGCTCAGCTGGATTTCCTGTCCCTGTGCGAACTGCACAGAAGTAGTGAGCAGAGTCCTGGGGTACCAGGGAGCTCAGGGACAGAGAAGACTTGGACTGGGAATTGTCCCGGGAGACAATGGCTCGGCCCTCCACTGCTTTGCCATATTTTGTTATTCTACCCTGATAGTTGATGTAGGACATCCACTCTAGACTGCCACCGGGTGCCTGACGGTACCACAAGACATGATAACTTCCAAAGGTGAATCCAGATCCCTGGCAGGAGAGATGCACGGAGTCTCCAGGTGCTCGCAGACCTCCACCAGACTCCACCAGACTCAACTGAGTCCAAACGCCTGCAGAAGGAGAGCACAGGGAGTGGGGCAGTGTGTGCCCATGGACAGGAAGGATGCTTTCTAGAAGCTCCTGCGACTACAGCACAGCACAGACTGAGTGACCAACCCCGTTGTTCCCTAGAAAGCCCGTGTCTAGGGGCACTGCCCTGACTGCCCTGCTCGGGACTCAGACGGGGATGTTCCAAAGCCTCCCCGACCGCGACAGCCTCCCTCTCCCGCACACACCGGACACGGCCCCGGCCCCAGACCCACTGCCCTCCCTGCCTGCCGCTCACCTGCCGGCCCCAAGGCCAAGGCCAAGGCCAGCAGCCGCGGCCCCAGCCCGCCCGCCATAGGGCCCTGCCGCGCCCGGCGGGAGGCGGACAGCAGCAGAGCGGGGCCAAGCTCGGGCCGCTCCTGCCCGCACCACAAGTCGGGCCCTCGCCGGGGCAGCGCCCACCGCTCCGCCCGCCCACGCCCGGCCCACACCGCCCCCCGCGGGGCCGCGGCCCCTTCGGCGGACGAGGAGGCGGCCGCGGGGCGGGGCGCGGGGCAGCTCGGCGGGCAGCGGAGGAGCGCGGCGCCCCGGCAGCCGGAGGCAGGGAGGGAGCCTCCTGGTCCTGGCCTCACCGTCAGCTGCCCGGTGGGCCAACAACCCACACCTCAGGATGGATTCCACTGAGGCTAGCTAGCAGAAAAGTCACAATTCAACCTGGTCTGTCTCACATATTTTGAGTGCATTCTGGGAGAAAGTGACATTGGAGGGTTGCCTCATGCACGTGTCTTATTTGGAGTAAGGTCTTAAAAAATGCATAAATTGTAAATATCTCTCCAGAAGCTGTATAGAAATAAAAAATAAATTAAAAAAAAAACAAAACAAAACACAACAACAACAGCAACAAAACCAACAAAACCACTCATTTCTTTCTTTCCTTCTTTTAATGAATGCTCTCCAACAATTACAACATCATTTTGTTATCACCATAATTTTCATCATAGGTCCAAAACACACCTCCCTACCCGATTATTGGATGGAAAAATAACTCTATCCTGGCCAAAACCAGGATATGGCTGACTTGTAATGAGGGATTGCTTGAGTAGTCACACAGTCTGAAAGAATCCCTGGACACCCCTCTACTGGTGCATCACACAGGAATTTGGACCTGTGTGCCTGCTGGTATCATGAGATGCTATAGTCATTCACAATCAGCCTGCATCCCCAGATGGTGACATGCATGGAAATCACAGAACTGTAGAATCATTAAGACTAGAAAAGACCTGTAAGATCATCAAGTCCAACCATCAACCTTACCTAACAAATCCTGTCATGCATAGGATAAAAAATAACATACCACTGAGTGTCCATCTCGCCTCCCACAGGCCTGTAACCTTTTCCGTTGGAGAAGGAGGTGGGCAGGGAGCAGTGGAGAGGAGTGTGTCACACCAGCAGCCACAGGCTTCTAGCCTGGCTGCCTTACGCTGCCCCAGTCTCACACAGCATGGAAAAACGTTCCTACTGAGGGGATGGCAGACCTCCTGAGGAGGGCTTTAAACTATAAAGAAGGGGGAAAAGGAGAGAATAACCAGAAGCCCTGTGAGGGAGTGACTGATGCAGCCGCTGAGCAGAAGGCATGGGGTGATGTGATAGGGAGGATTCACAAAATCATCAAAATGGGGCTTAAGCAGGACAAGCACTTCCCTAGTCCTGATGGCCACACTGTTTCTGATGCAGGTCAGGATGCCATTGGCCTTCTTGGCCATGGGACACACTGCTGGCTCGTGTTCAGCTGGCTGTCAAACAAAACCCTCAGGTCCTCCTTTTCTGTCAGGACACTTTCTATCCACTCTTCCCCAAGCCTGAATGGGATTGTTACATCCATCAATCCCACAGAACGGGGATGTTAGGATCCAAGAGTAGCACTAGGCACTTCCTCTCATGAACAAGCCTGTGCAGCCCTTCTTGCTGCACTCCAGCTGACCTGGCCATTTGCCCCTGACACTGCTGTTGATCCCAAGTGTCCTAACAGGCAAAGTGGGAAAGGGCTGAGCTGAAGGCATTCTCTGCCCTCTTCCGCAGCACAATATGGTTTTGCTTCTCCTCCTGGTTCTCTGTGGCAGCAATACATGTAGAAAAGGGAAGGGACCCTGGGAGCAGGTTTGTGTTAAAGCTCAGCTGGGTTTCCTGTCCCTGTGCGAACTGCACAGAAGTAGTGAGCAGAGTCCTTGGGTACTAAGGCACGCAGGGAAAGAGAAGACTTGGACTGGGAATTGTCCCGGGAGACACTGGCTCGGCCCTCCACTGCTTTGCCATATGTTTTTATTCCACCCTGATAGTTGATGTAGGACATCCACTCTAGACTGCCACCGGGTGCCTGACGGTACCACAAGACAAGATAACTTCCAAAGGGGAATCCAGATCCCTGGCAGGAGAGATGCACGGAGTCTCCAGGTGCTCGCAGACCTCCGCCAGACACCATCAACCTCCACTGTGCCCACACGCCTGTATGAGAGCACACGGAGTGAGGCAGTGAGAACACAGAAAGAAGAGGATGCTAACCAGAAGGCCCACCAACCCCAGACCAGCACAGCCTCAGCCGCTAACCCCTTTATTCTTGAGAAAGCCACTCACCAGGTGCACTGCCCCGACTGCCCTGCTCGGGACTCAGACGGGGCTGCTCCCAAAGCCTCCCCGACCCCGACAGCCTCCCTCTCCCGCACACACCGGACACGGCCCCCTACCAATCTGCCCTCCCCGCCCGCCGCTCACCTGCCGGCCCCAAGGCCAAGGCCAAGGCCAGCAGCCGCGGCCCCAGCCCGCCCGCCATCGGGCCCTGCCGCGCCCGGCGGGAGGCGGACAGCAGCAGAGCGGGGCCAAGCTCGGGCCGCTCCTGCCCGCACCACAAGTCGGGCCCTCGCCGGGGCAGCGCCCACCGCTCCGCCCGCCCACGCCCGGCCCACACCGCCCCCCGCGGGGCCGCGGCCCCTTCGGCGGAGGAGGAGGCGGCCGCGGGGCGGGGCGCGGGGCAGCTCGGCGGGCAGCGGAGGAGCGCGGCGCCCCGGCAGCCGGAGGCAGGGAGGGAGCCTCCTGGCCCTGCCCTCCCGGCGCTGCCCCGGCCTCGAGCCCCGCGCAGCCCGGCAGGAGGGACCCGGTAGTGCCACGCCGGAGCCACACGGAAAACTGCTCGGCCGCTTGCTGCTTGCTGTGCCCACGGGAGCCACCAGTGAGAGCCTCATCTCTGCCCTCCTGCAGCTGCAAGCTCCCGTGCTCAGGAGCTCTTGCTCCCATCACAGCCTGAGCACTGACATTACTGTCAGGGAGTGGGAAATAGGAAGACAGCCACGGCATGAAGCAGAGCAAAGGGTTTGTTGCAGATAGGTGGACTTCAGGTGTAGGGATCTAGAGCAGGGACTATGGTGGAGAGAGAGAGGAGCCAGCAGCCCTGTGACAGAGTGGCTAGGCATGGGGTGATGTGGCAGGGAGGCTTCACAACATCCACAAAAGGGGGCTTAAGCAGAACCACCTTCAGCACTTGCAACTAGCTCAGAAGGGCCCACAAGGCACCATCAAGGAGAAATCCCACAAGCCCTTTCTAAGCAGAGGGCATGCTGGGGTGCCTCTCCAAGTGTCATAGGCAAAGGTAGGGCTAATGATGGAAAGGCTCTTCAAGAGGGAACTCCATTTGTGGTGTCCTCAAAGCACAGACTTCATGTGTACATCATGGCTTAAGTCATGAAACTGTGCAGCTTGACCAATGCTGCACCATGACAGGACACGACGCCTGCTGGTTTCACCCCCGAGCTCCGATACATCTTACTGAACCAGCAGGGACACCACAGTCTCCTGCAAACAGAGAGAAAGGGGAGCAGAAGAATGCAAGTATTGTACAAACTCCAAGATGAAGAAGTGTGCTAGCAACTAATTGGAACATAAACTGAGTACAAGCTCAGTATGATTTCAATTGGATTGAAAGTGATGGGCATACGGAGCAGGAGAAAGCAGAGGAGGAGCCACATGCTCTCAGTGCAGACTCAGACTCACCATCAGCTGGCCTGTAGACCAACAACCCACTCATCAGAAGGGATGCCCATGAGGCTAACTGGCAGAAAATCACAATTCAACCTGGTGCATCTTGAGCATTTTGACCACGTTCCAGGGGATAGTGATACTGGAGGAGTAACTCATGCATGTGTTATTTATATTAAGGCCTTAAAGAATCAGTAAATAGAACGTACTAGAAGCAGTGCAGATGTAAAAACATAGCCATTCAATCACACTCCTCCTTCCTTCTCTGGAATGGGGGATAAAATAAAATAAAAATTAAACTGAAGGCTTGTGGGTGGACCTGGAGACCATTTAATGGAATAGAAAAGGGAAGATAATAACAATAATGATGATGAAAATGAAAGTACTACTATTAAGAGTACATACAAAAGTGATGCAGAATGCAATTGCTCACCACCCGCTGACTGATGCCCAACCTATCCCCAAGCAGCCAGTGTCCCCATCCCCGCCAGCCACCCCATATTAATTGTTCAGGGGAATTTCAGTGGTATGGAATATCCCTTTGGACAGATCGGGTCAGCTCTCCTGGTTCTGTCCCATCACAGCTCCTGCTGCATCCCCAGCCTGGCCACTGGCAGGAGAGCGTGAGAAGCTGAAAAGTCCTTGGCTTAGTGTAAGCACTGCTCTGCAGCAATTACATCATCAGTGTGTTATCAACATTATTTTCACCCTAAGTACAAGACACAGCACCCTACCAGACACTTGGAGGAAAATTAACTCTATCCTAGACAAAACCAGCATTCTGGCTCACTTGTAATGAGGGATTTCTTGAGTAGTTCCACTACCTGAGAGAATCCCTGGACACCCCTCTACTGGTGCATCATGCTCTGGCAGCACGTCACAGCTGCAATCTGTCCCAGCCCACATCCTGCCTCGCCCCTTTGCTGGAGCATGTGAGTGAGCATGGAAAGAGTGAGAAGCCCCATCAGGAGGTTCGTTTCAGGGAAAACCTCAGCTTTCTGTCCCCATTGGGGCAGCACAGAGGTAGCAAGTGGAGACCTGTGGATGCAGGGCATGCAGGACAATACATTTCAACACCTAGAAACTGTCCCGGGAGGTGGTGGGCTGCACACCCACATATGGCAGCCTTCCATAAGGTGTAGGAAAAGGAATGTTTGTTCTTGAGAGAACAAGAGGAATGTGGACCTGTGTACCTGCTGGTATCATGAGATGCTATAGTCATTGACAAGTAGCCTGCATCCCCAGATGGTGACATGCATGGAAATCACAGAACTGTAGAATCATTAAGGCTAGAAAAGACCTGTAAGATCATCAAGTCCAACCATCAACCTTACCTAACAAATCCTGTCATGCATAGGATAAAAAATAACATACCACTGAGTGTCCATCCTGCTTCTCACAGGCCTGAGGATTCCTTGGTGGAGGAAGAGGTGAGCATGGGGCAGTGAGCAGTGGGGAGGAGTGTGTCACACCAGCAGCCACAGGCTTCTAGCCCTGGCTGCCTTACGTTGCCCCAGTCTCACACAGCATGGAAAAACGTTCCTACTGAGGGGATGGCAGACCTCCTGAGGAGGGCTTTAAACTATAAAGAAGGGGGAAAAGGAGAGAATAACCAGAAGCCCTGTGAGGGAGTGACTGATGCAGCCGCTGAGCAGAAGGCATGGGGTGATGTGATAGGGAGGATTCACAAAATCATCAAAATGGGGCTTAAGCAGGACAAGCACTTCCCTAGTCCTGATGGCCACACTGTTTCTGATGCAGGTCAGGATGCCATTGGCCTTCTTGGCCATGGGACACACTGCTGGCTCGTGTTCAGCTGGCTGTCAAACAAAACCCTCAGGTCCTCCTTTTCTGTCAGGACACTTTCTATCCACTCTTCCCCAAGCCTGAATGGGATTGTTACATCTGTCAATGCCTACAGAATGGGGTTGTTAGGACCGAAGATCAGCACTTGGCACTTCCTTTCATGAGGAAGCCTGTGCAGCTCTTCTTCCTGCACTCCACCTGACCTGGCCATTTGCCCCTGACACTGCTGCTGATTCTATGTGCCCCTGCAGGCAACTCTTCAGAAGCTGAATACAGTTCTGCTGCTCCTCTCTGTGGCAGTGTCACACTTAGAGAAGGCAAGGGGCCCTGGCACTAGGTTTGTGTTAAAGCTCAGCTGGATTTCCTGTCCCTGTGGGAACTGCACAAAAGTAGTAGGCTGAGTCCTGGGGTTCCAGGGCACTCAGGGACAGAGAAGACTTGGACTGGGAATTGTCCCGGGAGACACTGGCTCGGCCCTCCACTGCTTTGCTATATTCTACAGTGCTACCATCATAGTTAAGGTAAGACATCCATTCAAGATTACCACCGGGTGCCTGACGGTACCACCAGACATCATAATACTCGAAACTGAGTCCAGATCCCTGGCAGGAGAGCTGCATGGAGTTTCCAGCTGCTTGCAGACCTCCGCCAGACTCCACGAGCTTCAATTCAGCCCAAACACCTGTAGAAAGAGGTCACAGGGAGTAGAGATGCATGTACCCATGGAAGGAAGATGCCCTCCAGAAGCCCCAGCAACGCCAGCCTAGCACAGACGGAAACGCCAACCCCCTTGCTCCACACAAAGCCCCTGGCCAGGGGCACTGCCCCAACTGCCCTCCTCTTGGCTCAGATGGGGCTGCTCCCAAAGCCTCCCCGACCTGGACAGCCTCCCACTCTCGCACACACCGGACCCTAGCTGACAACGACGGAGAACGCAGGGCTCCATTGCGCCAGGTGGGGCAGCACCAGGAGACGCGCCACGTCGGTCACGGCCACCCTCCGGCCCAGCCCCGACTCCAACTTCAGCCGCAGCCTCAACCCCGCCCAGGCCCAGCTGCCGTCCCCGCCCGCCGCTCACCTGCCGGCCCCAAGGCCAAGGCCAAGGCCAGCAGCCGCGGCCCCAGCCCGCCCGCCATCGGGCCCTGCCGCGCCCGGCGGGAGGCGGACAGCAGCAGAGCGGGGCCAAGCTCGGGCCGCTCCTGCCCGCACCACAAGTCGGGCCCTCGCCGGGGCAGCGCCCACCGCTCCGCCCGCCCACGCCCGGCCCACACCGCCCCCCGCGGGGCCGCGGCCCCTCTTGTCCTATCGCTCGTTATCAGCGAGAACAGGCCGGCCCACAGCTCCCCACAACTTCCTTTGAGGGAGCGGGAGAGAGGCCTCCACTAAGCAAACCGAGCCTCATCTTCTCCGGACTGAAGGGAGAAGCCTTCTCCGCTCCACATAGGCATGTCCGCTGGTACGTCTTTCATAGCAGTATCTCCCCAGGCACTGCATCGTGGGGTATCTGTGGCCTGATGGATCCTGTACTTTTGGTCTAACTCCAGCACAACCGATTGATGCTCAGGGGTGACCTGCTTCTGCATCACCTCTGTGCTGACAGCTCAGTCACATCACAGTATTGAAGACAGCTAAACGTTGTTCTTAGATTTTGGAACCACTGGGGGCTTGGGACTCTTTGTAATGTCAGTCCACTTTACACGCTCTTTCACAAAGCAGAAGGCATTGGTATTTTTTAAAATAAGGTCAGCACTGCCCCTCCTATTACCCTTGCTTTCCAGTGAGCCATGACTCAGACTTCACATGGGACAATTTTCCGAGGTTTTAGGGAATTCCACGATGTATTCTCTAACCTTTTTATACATAGCCCTCCTCCCACACAGGAGATGAGCACCACCCCTCCTGCACACACACACAGACACACATGCAAATCATTGCTGCTTGAAACTGTCAGGTCATATACTACGGAAAAAAAAATATATAGATATTTGCACTCATTCTGGTTATTGCCTTTTCAAATGGTGGTTCTTCAAAGGTTTACCTGTAAGACAGATTTAAAGGACCAAGCAACACCTTAGAACAATGCTTCAGTTTGCAGGCTTTTCATACTCGGTTATATGCTAATTTAATAAAGTCCTAGAATGGCTTGGGATGGAAGGGACACCAAAAAACATTTAGTTCCAACCCCCTGCCATAGGCAGGGATGCCACCCAATAGATCAGGTTGATCAGGGCTTCATCCAACTTGGTGTTGAACACCTCCAGGGGTGGGGCATCCACAACCTCTCTGGGCACCATCTTGCAGTGCCTCACCACCCTCTGAGTGAAAATGGTGGTACACCACCTGAGCCCCCGTAACCTCTCATCTAAATGTCTCCTCGTTTAGTTTAAAATGATTCCCCCTCATCCTGTCAACATCCAAATGAGTAAAGAGTTGCTCTCCATCCCTTCAACAAATTCCCTTCAAATACTGAAATGTTGCAATGAGGTCACCCAGGAGCCTTTGCTTCTGTAGGCTGAACAGCCCCAGATCTCTCAGCCTTTTTTCATATGAGACATGCTCCAGCCCCATGATCACATTTGTGGCACTCCTCTGGACCTGCTCTAACAGATCAACATCCTTCTTGTGCTGGGAGCTCCCGACCTGGACACACTACCCCAAGTGGGGCATCACAAGGGCAGATTAGAAGGAGACAATCATCTCCCTCAATCTGATAGACAGTACTCTATTACTGCAGCACAGGATGCAGTTGGCCTTCTAGGCTGCAAGCACACAATTCTGGCTCACGTCAAGCTTTTATTCCAGCAGAACCCCCACGTCCTTCTCAGCAGGGCTGCTCTTTAGGAGTTCTTCATCCAGTCTGTACTCATGTCTGGGATTGCTCTGGCCCAGGTGTAGCACCTTACACTTAGACTTGTGGAACCTCATTAGGTTCATGTGTGCCCACTTCTCAAGAATGTCCAGGTCCCTTTGGGTGGCATCCCTTCTTTCTATTCTATCAACAACAGAATTTGCCTACAGGACAAAGAGTGTGGATTTTCTGTGAGGGCTGGCATGCACAGGCATATCTGTTGTTCTACATAGCCCACTCTCAAAGGGATTTTGCCTGTAATTTCCTTAGAGCTTAGCCTCTTCCTCTGGACAGGTACACTCTAGCTGCTTGCTGCCTCCTGGGTACTTGCAGTGCAATTAGGATGAGCCATAGCCTGAGGCTAGGGTGGGAGAGAAGATTTTTGAGCAACAAGGGATTCTCCCAATCTTTCCCATACTATCTTCTAAGGTGTATCTCCTAGAGAAAGACCTTGGGCGCACTGCAGGAGATTCAGCAATCCCATTCTCTGCAGCAACTGTACAGGCCTAGGGCTGTAGCAACCTCCTTGGCCCTTGTCTGGAGCAAGTACTGCCAACTGGGATGCTGCTGGTGACAGGCCATGTAAATGTAAGAAGCGTTGAACCTATAAGTGCATCGCAGGGTTTCTGTGTATTGTGCTGAGCCCCTCAATGCAGACTTCATTACTTGGATCTTACTGCCCTGAAACACAACTGGAGTCACAGCACAGCTCTTCACACAACTGCTTCTCTTTTTCCAGCTCATGGAAATGGCACAGGGACGGGTCACTGAGGGAAGTAACAATGGAAATAGGCAACATCTTTTCTAAAGCCCAAGTGAAGAAGGAGACCAAAGGCAGGCAGACAGGGGCTGAAGGCAGCTAAACTACGCAAGCTATTTTGGTGACCAGAAATATACTGAACATCATCCTCAGATACTGGTTTGGGGACATTGGAGAAAGGGCTGATTAAGAGAAAGGAGCTCTTGGCAGAAAGGACAGAGCTATCTCTGGTATACAGTGATGCAGCCTTGCTCCCTGGGAGCAGCCTACAGCGGACACAACCCAGATGACCTCTGCGGCTCGCACAGTCCTGGCCACGCCCTGCAAAGGGATTTTTGTTAAAGCTCTGCTGGATTTCCTGTCCCTGTGTGAACAGCACAGAAATAGCGGGCTGAGTCCCCCACATGCAGATGCTGGAGAAACAGAGATGACTCGGACCGTGAATTGTCCCGGGAGGCTGTGGCTCGACCTTGTACTGCAACCCCGTATTGCTTTTTAGTACCAGATGGCATGCTGACGTAAGACACCCACTCAGGACTGCCACCAGGTGCCAGACGGTACCACCGTACAGCAAATAAACTTAAGTTGAATCCAGATCCCTGGCAGGAGAGATTCACAGAGTTCCCACGTGTTCGCACACCTCCACCAGACTCCACCAACCTCCACTGTGCCCATACGCCTGTAGGAGAGTACATGGAGTGAGGCAGTGAGAACACAGAAAGAAGAGGATGCTAAACAGAAGGCCCACCAACCCCAGACCAGCACAGCCTAAGCCACTAACCCCTTACTCTTGAGAAAGCCACTCACCAGGTGCACTGCCCCGACTGCCCTCCTCGGGGCTCAGACGAGGCTGCTCCCAAAGCCTTCCCGACCGCGACAGCCTCCCTCTCCCGCACACACCGGACCCGCTGCCCTCCCCGCCCGCCGCTCACCTGCCGGCCCCAAGGCCAAGGCCAAGGCCAGCAGCCGCGGCCCCAGCCCGCCCGCCATCGGGCCCTGCCGCGCCCGGCGGGAGGCGGACAGCAGCAGAGCGGGGCCAAGCTCGGGCCGCTCCTGCCCGCACCACAAGTCGGGCCCTCGCCGGGGCAGCGCCCACCGCTCCGCCCGCCCACGCCCGGCCCACACCGCCCCCCGCGGGGCCGCGGCCCCTTCGGCGGACGAGGAGGCGGCCGCGGGGCGGGGCGTGGGGCAGCTCGGCGGGCAGCGGAAGAATCGATCACCTGGCGAGACACATGATAAATCATCTCTAACTCACTCAGCCTCATTGACCTCCCGGGAAACTAGTGCTTCTTCCACAGCAAATAAATTCAGCAGTTCATCTCTTCTGCACAAGAAAATAGTCCCATTTAGGATCAGAGGGAAAAGCTGTCAGGTGTTTAACCATGGAATCATAGAAACATGGAGAACGACACCTCCTTGCTGCAACCTTCTCTCAGACAGCTGCAGAGAATGATCAGGTCTCCCCTCAGCCTACTTTTCTCAACACTAAAAAAAAAACAGTTTCCTCAGCTGCTGATGAGAACACTTGCTTTCTAGTCCCCTCACCAGCTTTGTTGCTCTTTGCACATACTCAAGCAACTCAATATCCTTCTGTGGTCGTTTTACTTGGGTGGACAGCCGAGTTCCACCACAGTCGCTCTCTCACTCCCCCTCCTCAAAGAAAAAGGGGGAGAAATAACAATACAGAGGCCTCAAGGTTTGACATAAGGATGATTTAATTAAAGGCAAAAATAAGAAGGGGAAAAAAAAAAAAAAGGAAAGGCTGCACGGAAGCACAGAGAGAGAAAAGCAGTTACCCTCTACTTCCCATCAACGAGCAACATTCAGCCACATCCTGGGAAGCAGGGCCTCAATACACATAGTGGTTGTTTGGGAGAACACAGCCTTCCACAACGAGGCCCCCCACCTCTCCTTCACCTTTCCCACATTTATTGCTCAGAGTGACATCATGTGGCATGGGATAGACCTTTGGTCGATTTAGGTCAGCTGCCCCAGTGATGTCCCCTCCCCATCACTTACAAACCCCCAGTCTGCTGGCTCTTGGGGGGTTGCAGGAGGTCCTGATGCTGTGCCAGTAGTGGGCAACAATAAATGAAACACTGCTGTGACACCAGTGCCCTTCTACCTACAAGTGCAGGGCACAGCACTGTATGGGCTGCTGCAGGGAGAGTTAGCATGCCAGCCAGACCCAGCACACCTCCTTGTAGTGAGGGGACCAAAATGAACCCAATGTCAGAGATGTGTTGTCACCAGAGCCACATACCAAAGGACCATTACTTCCCAACTCCTGATGGCCTCACTGTTTCTGATGAGATTGGCCATCTTGACAGCAGCGGCACACCACTGGCTCATGATCATCTGGCTGTCAAACAAAACCCTCAGGACCTCCTTGGCCAAGACACTTTCCATTCACTCTTCCACAAGCCTGAACGGGATTGTTACATCCATCAATCCCATAGAACGGGGTTGTTGGCACCCAAGAGCAGCACTAGGCACTTCCTCTCATGAGGAAGCCTGTGCAGCCCTTCTTGCTGCACTCCAGCTGACCTGGCCTTTTGCCCCTGACACTGCTGTTGATCCCATGTGCCCCGACGGGCAAAGTGGGAAAGGGCTGAGCTGAAGGCAGTTCTTTGCCCTCTTCAGCATGTGAATATGGTTCTGCTGCTCCTCCTGGTTGTCTGTGGCAGCAATACATGTAGAAAAGGGAAGGGATCCTGGGAGCAGATTTATGTTAAAGCTCAGCTGGATTTCCTGTCCCTGTGCGAACTGCACAGAAGTAGTGAGCAGAGTCCTGGGGTACCAGGGAGCTCAGGGACAGAGAAGACTTGGACTGGGAATTGTCCCGGGAGACACTGGCTCGGCCCTCCACTGCTTTGCCATATTTTGTTATTCTACCCTGATAGTTGATGTACGACATCCACTCTAGACTGCCACCGGGTGCCTGACGGTACCACAAGACATGATAACTTCCAAAGGTGAATCCAGATCCCTGGCAGGAGAGATGCACGGAGTCTCCAGGTGCTCGCAGACCTCCACCAGACTCAACCAACCTCCACTGTGCCCACACGCCTGTAGGAGAGCACATGGAGTGAGGCAGTGAGAATACAGAAAAAAGAGGATGCTAACCAGAAGGCCTACCAACCCCAGACCAGCACAGCCTCAGCCGCTAACCCCTTTATTCTTGAGAAAGCCACTCACGAGGTGCGCTGCCCCGACTGCCCTGCTCGGGACTCAGACGGGGCTGCTCCCAAAGCCTCCCCGACCCCGACAGCCTCCCTCTCCCGCACACACCGGACCCGGCGACGGCCCCGCTGCCCTCCCCGCCCGCCGCTCACCTGCCGGCCCCAAGGCCAAGGCCAAGGCCAGCAGCCGCGGCCCCAGCCCGCCCGCCATCGGGCCCTGCCGCGCCCGGCGGGAGGCGGACAGCAGCAGAGCGGGGCCAAGCTCGGGCCGCTCCTGCCCGCACCACAAGTCGGGCCCTCGCCGGGGCAGCGCCCACCGCTCCGCCCGCCCACGCCCGGCCCACACCGCCCCCCGCGGGGCCGCGGCCCCTTCGGCGGAGGAGGAGGCGGCCGCGGGGCGGGGCGCGGGGCAGCTCGGCGGGCAGCGGAGGAGCGCGGCGCCCCGGTAGCCGGAGGCAGGGAGGGAGCCTCCTGGCCCTGCCCTCTCGGCGCTGCCCCGGCCTCGAGCCCCGCGCAGCCCGGCAGGAGGGACCCGGCCGTGCCGTTCCGGAGCCACACGGAAAACTGCTCGGCCGCTCGCTGCCTGCGGTGCCCACGGGAGCCACCAGTGAGAGCCTCATCTCTGCCCTCCTGCAGCTGCAAGCTCCCGTGCTCAGGAGCTCTTGCTCCCATCGCAGCCTGAGCACTGATATTACTATCAGGGAGTGGGAAATAGAGAAACAACCAGGACATGAAGGGGAGCAAAGTGTTTGTTGCCGATAGCTGGACCTCCAGTGGAGGGCTGTAGAGCAGGAACTACGGTGGAGGGAGAGAGGAGCCAGAAGCCCTGTGAGGGAGTGACTGATGCAGCTGCTGAGCAAAAGGAATGGGGTGATGTGATAGGGAGGATTCACAAAATCATCAAAATGGGGCTTAAGCAGGACAAGCACTTCCCTAGTCCTGATGGCCACACTGTTTCTGATGCAGGTCAGGATGCCATTGGCCTTCTTGCCACAGGGGCACACTGCTGGCTCATGTTCAACTGGCTGTCAAACAAAATCCTCAGGTCCTTTTCTGTCAGGACATTTTCCATCCACTCTTCCCCAAGCCTGAATGGGATTGTTACGTCCATCAATCCTACAGAACGGGGTTGTTAGGACGCAAGAGCAGCGCTCGGCACTTACTCTCATGAGGAAGCCTTTGCAACTCTTCTTGCTGCACTCCACCTGACCAGGCCATTTGCTCCTGACACTGCTGTTCATCCCATGTGCCCCAACGGGCAAAGTGGGAAAGGGCTGAGCTGAAGGCAGTTCTTTGCCCTCTTCAGCATGTGAATATGGTTCTGCTGCTACTCCCGGTTCTCTGTGGCAGCAATACATGTAGAAAAGGGAAGGGACCCTGGGAGCAGGTTTATGTTAAAGCGCAGCTGGGTTTCCTGTCCCTGTGCGAACTGCACAGAAGTAGTGGGCTGAGTCCTGGGGTAGAAGGGCACGCAGGGACAGGTAGGCTTTGGACTGGGAATTGTCCTTGGAGGCTGTGACTCGGCCCTCCACTGCTTTACCATATTTTGTTGTTCTAACATCAAAGTTAATGTAGGACACCCATTCGAGGCTTCCACCAAGTGCCTGACGGTACCACCAGACAGAAAAATCTTGGAATCTGAATCCGGATCCCTGGCAAGAGAGCTGCACGGAGTCTCCAGGTGCTCGCAGACCTCCACCAGACTCCACCAGCTTCAATTCAGCCCAAACACCTGCAGCAGAGAACATGGAGTGGGGCAGTGTGTGCACACAGAAAGAAAAGGATGCTAACCAGAAGGCCCACCACCAACCCGAGACCAGCACAGCCTCAGTCGCCATCCCACTAACACGCAAGAAAGCCACTCGGCAAGTGCACTACCCCGACTGCCCTCCTCGGGACTCACACGGAGTTGTTCTCAAAGCATCCCCGACAGCCTCCCTCTCCCGCACACACCGGACACGGCCCCGGCCAGAAGGCCCACCAACCCGAGACCAGCACAGGCTCAGTCGCCAACCCCCTAACACGCAAGAAAGCCCCTGGCCAGGGGCACTGCTCCAACTACCCTCCTCGGGGCTCAGACAAGGCTGCTCCCAAAGCCTTCCCGACCCCGACGGCCCCTGGCAAGGGGCACTGCCCCAACTGGCCTCCTGGGGACTCAGACGAGGATGTTCCCAAAGCCTCCCCGACCGCGACAGCCTCCCTCTCCCGCACACACCGGACACGGCCCCGCTGCCCTCCCCGCCCGCCGCTCACCTGCCGGCCCCAAGGCCAAGGCCAAGGCCAGCAGCCGCGGCCCCAGCCCGCCCGCCATCGGGCCCTGCCGCGCCCGGCGGGAGGCGGACAGCAGCAGAGCGGGGCCAAGCTCGGGCCGCTCCTGCCCGCACCACAAGTCGGGCCCTCGCCGGGGCAGCGCCCACCGCTCCGCCCGCCCACGCCCGGCCCACACCGCCCCCCGCGGGGCCGCGGCCCCTTCGGCGGAGGAGGAGGCGGCCGCGGGGCGGGGCGCGGGGCAGCTCGGCGGGCAGCGGAGGAGCGCGGCGCCCCGGCAGCCGGAGGCAGGGAGGGAGCCTCCTGGCCCTGCCCTCCCGGCGCTGCCCCGGCCTCGAGCCCCGCGCATCCCGGCAGGAGGGACCCGGCAGTGCCGTTCCGGAGCCACACGGAAAAGCTGCTCGGCCGCTCGCTGCCTGCGGTGCCCACGGGAGCCACCAGTGAGAGCCTCATCTCTGCCCTCCTGCAGCTGCAAGCTCCCGTGCTCAGGAGCTCTTGCTCCCATCACAGCCTGAGCACTGACATTACTGTCAGGGAGTGGGAAATAGGAAGACAGCCATGGCATTAAGCAGAGCAAAGGGTTTGTTGCAGATAGGTGGACTTCAGGTGTAGGGATCTAGATCAGGGACTATGGTGGAGAGAGAGAGGAGTCAGCAGCCCTGTGAGAGAGTGACTAGGCATGGGGTGATGTGGCAGGGAGGCTTCACAACATCCACAAAAGGGGGCTTAAGCAGAACCACCTTCAGCACTTGCATCTAGCTCAGAAGGGCCCACAAGGCACCATCAAGGAGAAATCCCACAAGCCCTTTCTAAGCAGAGGGCATGCTGGGGTGCCTCTCCAAGTGTCATAGGCAAAGGTAGGGCTAAGGATGGAAAGGCTCTTCAAGAGGGAACTCCATTTGCGGTGTCCTCAAAGCAGAGACATCATGGGTTCGTCTTGGCTTAAGTCATGAAACTGTGCAGCTTGACCAATGCTGCACCATGACAGGACACGACGCCTGCTGGTTTCACCCCCGAGCTCCAGTACATCTTACTGAACCAGCAGGGACACCACAGTCTCCTGCAAACAGAGAGAAAGGGGAGCAGAAGAATGCAAGTATTGTACAAACTCCAAGATGACGAAGTGTGCTAGCAACGAATTGGAACATAAACTGAGTACAAGCTCAATATGATTTCAATTGGATTGAAAATGATGAGCATACGGAGCAGGAGAAAGCAGAGGAGGAGCCAAATGCTCTCAGTGCAGACTCAGACTCACCATCAGCTGGTCTGTGGACCAACAACCCACTCATCAGAAGGGACCTGTGTGCCTGCTGGTATCATGAGATTCTATAGTCATTGACAAGTAGCCTGCATCCCCAGCTGGTGACATGCATGGAAATCACAGAACTGTAGAATCATTAAGGCTGTAAAAGACCATGTTAAATCATCACATCCACAATCAACCTTACCTAACAAATCCTGTCATGCACAGGATAAAAAATAACATACCACTGAGTGTAAATCCTGCTTCTCACAGGCCTGACGATTCCTTGGTGGAGGAAGAGGTGAGCATGGGGTAGGGAGCAGTGGGGAGGAGTGTGTCACACCAGCAGCCACAAGCTTCTAGCCCTGGCTGCCTTACGCTGCCCCAGTCTCACACAGCATGGCAAAAATGTTCCTACTGAGGGGATGGCAGACCTCCTGAGGAGGGCTTTAAACTATAAAGAAGGGGGAAAAGGAGAGAATAACCAGAAGCCCTGTGAGGGAGTGACTGATGCAGCCGCTGAGCAGAAGGCATGGGGTGATGTGATAGGAAGGATTCACAAAATCATCAAAATGGGGCTTAAGCAGGACAAGCACTTCCCTAGTCCTGATGGCCACACTGTTTCTGATGCAGGTCAGGATGCCATTGGCCTTCTTGGCCATGGGACACACTGCTGGCTTGTGTTCAGCTGGCTGTCAAACAAAACCCTCAGGTCCTCCTTTTCTGTCAGGACACATTCTATCCACTCTTCCCCAAGCCTGAATGGGATTGTTACATCTGTCAATCCCTACAGAATGGGGTTGTTAGGACCCAACAGCAGCACTCGGCACTACCTTTCATGAGGAAGCCTTTGCAACTCTTCTTGCTGCACTCCACCTGACCTGGCCATTTGCTCCTGACACTGCCGCTGATTCTATGTGTCCATACAGGCAATGTGGGAAAGTTCTGATCTCAAGGCACTACTCCGCACTCTTCAAAAGCTTAATAAAATTCTGCTGCTTCTCTCTGTTCTCTGTGGCAGTGTCACACTTAGAGAAGGCGAGGGGCCCTGGCAACAGGTTTGTGTTAAAGCGCAGCTGGGTTTCCTGTCCCTGTGCGAACTGCACAGAAGTAGTGGGCTGAGTCCTGGGGTAGAAGGGCACGCAGGGACAGATAAGCTTTGGACTGGGAATTGTCCCGGGAGACACTGGCTCGGCCCTCCACTGTTTTGCTATATTCTAAAGTGCTACCATCATAGTTAAGGTAGGACATCCACTCGAGAGTTCCACCGGGTGCCTGACGGTACCACCAGACATCATGACTTCCAAAGATGAATCCAGATCCCTGGCAGGAGAGCTGCACGGAGTCTCCAGCTGCTCGCAGACCTCCGCCAGATTCCACCACAATCAACTGAGCCCAAACACCTGTAGAAAGAGACCACAGGGAGTAGGGATGCGTGTGCCCACGGAAGGAAGATGCCCTCCAGAAGCCCCAGCAACGCCAGCCTAGCATAGACAGAAATGCCAACCTACTTGCTCCACACAAGGCCCCTGGCCAGGGGCACTGCCCCAACTGCCCTCCTCTTGGCTCAGATGGGGCTGCTCCCAATGCACCCCCGACCCCGACAGCCTCCCTCACCCCACACACCGGACCCTAACTGACAACGACGGCGAGCGCCAGGCTCCAGTGCGCCAGGTGGGGCAGCACCAGGAGACGCGCCACGTCGGTCACGGCCAACCCCCGTCCCAGACACGACTCAAGTTTAAGCCCCAGCCCCAACCCCGCCCAGGCCCCGCTGCCCTCCCCGCCCGCCGCTCACCTGCCGGCCCCAAGGCCAAGGCCAAGGCCAGCAGCCGCGGCCCCAGCCCGCCCGCCATCGGGCCCTGCCGCGCCCGGCGGGAGGCGGACAGCAGCAGAGCGGGGCCAAGCTCGGGCCGCTCCTGCCCGCACCACAAGTCGGGCCCTCGCCGGGGCAGCGCCCACCGCTCCGCCCGCCCACGCCCGGCCCACACCGCCCCCCGCGGGGCCGCGGCCCCTCTTGTCCTATCGCTCGTTATCAGCGAGAACAGGCCGGCCCACAGCTCCCCACAACTTCCTTTGAGGGAGCGGGAGAGAGGCCTCCACTAAGCAAACCGAGCCTCATCTTCTCCGGACTGAAGGGAGAAGCCTTCTCCGCTCCACATAGGCATGTCCGCTGGTACGTCTTTCATAGCAGTATCTCCCCAGGCACTGCATCGTGGGGTATCTGTGGCCTGATGGATCCTGTACTTTTGGTCTAACTCCAGCACAACCGATTGATGCTCAGGGGTGACCTGCTTCTGCATCACCTCTGTGCTGACAGCTCAGTCACATCACAGTATTGAAGACAGCTAAACGTTGTTCTTAGATTTTGGAACCACTGGGGGCTTGGGACTCTTTGTAATGTCAGTCCACTTTACACGCTCTTTCACAAAGCAGAAGGCATTGGTATTTTTTAAAATAAGGTCAGCACTGCCCCTCCTATTACCCTTGCTTTCCAGTGAGCCATGACTCAGACTTCACATGGGACAATTTTCCGAGGTTTTAGGGAATTCCACGATGTATTCTCTAACCTTTTTATACATAGCCCTCCTCCCACACAGGAGATGAGCACCACCCCTCCTGCACACACACACAGACACACATGCAAATCATTGCTGCTTGAAACTGTCAGGTCATATACTACGGAAAAAAAAATATATAGATATTTGCACTCATTCTGGTTATTGCCTTTTCAAATGGTGGTTCTTCAAAGGTTTACCTGTAAGACAGATTTAAAGGACCAAGCAACACCTTAGAACAATGCTTCAGTTTGCAGGCTTTTCATACTCGGTTATATGCTAATTTAATAAAGTCCTAGAATGGCTTGGGATGGAAGGGACACCAAAAAACATTTAGTTCCAACCCCCTGCCATAGGCAGGGATGCCACCCAATAGATCAGGTTGATCAGGGCTTCATCCAACTTGGTGTTGAACACCTCCAGGGGTGGGGCATCCACAACCTCTCTGGGCACCATCTTGCAGTGCCTCACCACCCTCTGAGTGAAAATGGTGGTACACCACCTGAGCCCCCGTAACCTCTCATCTAAATGTCTCCTCGTTTAGTTTAAAATGATTCCCCCTCATCCTGTCAACATCCAAATGAGTAAAGAGTTGCTCTCCATCCCTTCAACAAATTCCCTTCAAATACTGAAATGTTGCAATGAGGTCACCCAGGAGCCTTTGCTTCTGTAGGCTGAACAGCCCCAGATCTCTCAGCCTTTTTTCATATGAGACATGCTCCAGCCCCATGATCACATTTGTGGCACTCCTCTGGACCTGCTCTAACAGATCAACATCCTTCTTGTGCTGGGAGCTCCCGACCTGGACACACTACCCCAAGTGGGGCATCACAAGGGCAGATTAGAAGGAGACAATCATCTCCCTCAATCTGATAGACAGTACTCTATTACTGCAGCACAGGATGCAGTTGGCCTTCTAGGCTGCAAGCACACAATTCTGGCTCACGTCAAGCTTTTATTCCAGCAGAACCCCCACGTCCTTCTCAGCAGGGCTGCTCTTTAGGAGTTCTTCATCCAGTCTGTACTCATGTCTGGGATTGCTCTGGCCCAGGTGTAGCACCTTACACTTAGACTTGTGGAACCTCATTAGGTTCATGTGTGCCCACTTCTCAAGAATGTCCAGGTCCCTTTGGGTGGCATCCCTTCTTTCTATTCTATCAACAACAGAATTTGCCTACAGGACAAAGAGTGTGGATTTTCTGTGAGGGCTGGCATGCACAGGCATATCTGTTGTTCTACATAGCCCACTCTCAAAGGGATTTTGCCTGTAATTTCCTTAGAGCTTAGCCTCTTCCTCTGGACAGGTACACTCTAGCTGCTTGCTGCCTCCTGGGTACTTGCAGTGCAATTAGGATGAGCCATAGCCTGAGGCTAGGGTGGGAGAGAAGATTTTTGAGCAACAAGGGATTCTCCCAATCTTTCCCATACTATCTTCTAAGGTGTATCTCCTAGAGAAAGACCTTGGGCGCACTGCAGGAGATTCAGCAATCCCATTCTCTGCAGCAACTGTACAGGCCTAGGGCTGTAGCAACCTCCTTGGCCCTTGTCTGGAGCAAGTACTGCCAACTGGGATGCTGCTGGTGACAGGCCATGTAAATGTAAGAAGCGTTGAACCTATAAGTGCATCGCAGGGTTTCTGTGTATTGTGCTGAGCCCCTCAATGCAGACTTCATTACTTGGATCTTACTGCCCTGAAACACAACTGGAGTCACAGCACAGCTCTTCACACAACTGCTTCTCTTTTTCCAGCTCATGGAAATGGCACAGGGACGGGTCACTGAGGGAAGTAACAATGGAAATAGGCAACATCTTTTCTAAAGCCCAAGTGAAGAAGGAGACCAAAGGCAGGCAGACAGGGGCTGAAGGCAGCTAAACTACGCAAGCTATTTTGGTGACCAGAAATATACTGAACATCATCCTCAGATACTGGTTTGGGGACATTGGAGAAAGGGCTGATTAAGAGAAAGGAGCTCTTGGCAGAAAGGACAGAGCTATCTCTGGTATACAGTGATGCAGCCTTGCTCCCTGGGAGCAGCCTACAGCGGACACAACCCAGATGACCTCTGCGGCTCGCACAGTCCTGGCCACGCCCTGCAAGGGATTTTTGTTAAAGCTCTGCTGGATTTCCTGTCCCTGTGTGAACAGCACAGAAATAGCGGGCTGAGTCCCCCACATGCAGATGCTGGAGAAACAGAGATGACTCGGACCGTGAATTGTCCCGGGAGGCTGTGGCTCGACCTTGTACTGCAACCCCGTATTGCTTTTTAGTACCAGATGGCATGCTGACGTAAGACACCCACTCAGGACTGCCACCAGGTGCCAGACGGTACCACCGTACAGCAAATAAACTTAAGTTGAATCCAGATCCCTGGCAGGAGAGATTCACAGAGTTCCCACGTGTTCGCACACCTCCACCAGACTCCACCAACCTCCACTGTGCCCATACGCCTGTAGGAGAGTACATGGAGTGAGGCAGTGAGAACACAGAAAGAAGAGGATGCTAAACAGAAGGCCCACCAACCCCAGACCAGCACAGCCTAAGCCACTAACCCCTTACTCTTGAGAAAGCCACTCACCAGGTGCACTGCCCCGACTGCCCTCCTCGGGGCTCAGACGAGGCTGCTCCCAAAGCCTTCCCGACCGCGACAGCCTCCCTCTCCCGCACACACCGGACCCGCTGCCCTCCCCGCCCGCCGCTCACCTGCCGGCCCCAAGGCCAAGGCCAAGGCCAGCAGCCGCGGCCCCAGCCCGCCCGCCATCGGGCCCTGCCGCGCCCGGCGGGAGGCGGACAGCAGCAGAGCGGGGCCAAGCTCGGGCCGCTCCTGCCCGCACCACAAGTCGGGCCCTCGCCGGGGCAGCGCCCACCGCTCCGCCCGCCCACGCCCGGCCCACACCGCCCCCCGCGGGGCCGCGGCCCCTTCGGCGGACGAGGAGGCGGCCGCGGGGCGGGGCGTGGGGCAGCTCGGCGGGCAGCGGAAGAATCGATCACCTGGCGAGACACATGATAAATCATCTCTAACTCACTCAGCCTCATTGACCTCCCGGGAAACTAGTGCTTCTTCCACAGCAAATAAATTCAGCAGTTCATCTCTTCTGCACAAGAAAATAGTCCCATTTAGGATCAGAGGGAAAAGCTGTCAGGTGTTTAACCATGGAATCATAGAAACATGGAGAACGACACCTCCTTGCTGCAACCTTCTCTCAGACAGCTGCAGAGAATGATCAGGTCTCCCCTCAGCCTACTTTTCTCAACACTAAAAAAAAAACAGTTTCCTCAGCTGCTGATGAGAACACTTGCTTTCTAGTCCCCTCACCAGCTTTGTTGCTCTTTGCACATACTCAAGCAACTCAATATCCTTCTGTGGTCGTTTTACTGGGTGGACAGCCGAGTTCCACCACAGTCGCTCTCTCACTCCCCCTCCTCAAAGAAAAAGGGGGAGAAATAACAATACAGAGGCCTCAAGGTTTGACATAAGGATGATTTAATTAAAGGCAAAAATAAGAAGGGGAAAAAAAAAAAAAAAGGAAAGGCTGCACGGAAGCACAGAGAGAGAAAAGCAGTTACCCTCTACTTCCCATCAACGAGCAACATTCAGCCACATCCTGGGAAGCAGGGCCTCAATACACATAGTGGTTGTTTGGGAGAACACAGCCTTCCACAACGAGGCCCCCCCACCTCTCCTTCACCTTTCCCACATTATTGCTCAGAGTGACATCATATGGCATGGGATAGACCTTTGGTCGATTTAGGTCAGCTGCCCCAGTGATGTCCCCTCCCCATCACTTACAAACCCCAGTCTGCTGGCTCTTGGGGGGTTGCAGGAGGTCCTGATGCTGTGCCAGTAGTGGGCAACAATAAATGAAACACTGCTGTGACACCAGTGCCCTTCTACCTACAAGTGCAGGGCACAGCACTGTATGGGCTGCTGCAGGGAGAGTTAGCATGCCAGCCAGACCCAGCACACCTCCTTGTAGTGAGGGGACCAAAATGAACCCAATGTCAGAGATGTGTTGTCACCAGAGCCACATACCAAAGGACCATTACTTCCCAACTCCTGATGGCCTCACTGTTTCTGATGAGATTGGCCATCTTGACAGCAGCGGCACACCACTGGCTCATGATCATCTGGCTGTCAAACAAAACCCCTCAGGACCTCCTTGGCCAAGACACTTTCCATTCACTCTTCCACAAGCCTGAACGGGATTGTTACATCCATCAATCCCATAGAACGGGGTTGTTGGCACCCAAGAGCAGCACTAGGCATTCCTCTCATGAGGAAGCCTGTGCAGCCCTTCTTGCTGCACTCCAGCTGACCTGGCCTTTGCCCCTGACACTGCTGTTGATCCCATGTGCCCCGACGGGCAAAGTGGGAAAGGGCTGAGCTGAAGGCAGTTCTTTGCCCTCTTCAGCATGTGAATATGGTTCTGCTGCTCCTCCTGGTTGTCTGTGGCAGCAATACATGTAGAAAAGGGAAGGGATCCTGGGAGCAGATTTATGTTAAAGCTCAGCTGGATTTCCTGTCCCTGTGCGAACTGCACAGAAGTAGTGAGCAGAGTCCTGGGGTACCAGGGAGCTCAGGGACAGAGAAGACTTGGACTGGGAATTGTCCCGGGAGACACTGGCTCGGCCCTCCACTGCTTTGCCATATTTTGTTTATTCTACCCGATAGTTGATGTACGACATCCACTCTAGACTGCCACCGGGTGCCTGACGGTACCACAAGACATGATAACTTCCAAAGGTGAATCCAGATCCCTGGCAGGAGAGATGCACGGAGTCTCCAGGTGCTCGCAGACCTCCACCAGACTCAACCAACCTCCACTGTGCCCACCACGCCTGTAGGAGAGCACATGGAGTGAGGCAGTGAGAATACAGAAAAAAGAGGATGCTAACCAGAAGGCCTACCAACCCCAGACCAGCACAGCCTCACCGCTAACCCCTTTATTCTTGAGAAAGCCACTCACGAGGTGCGCTGCCCCGACTGCCCTGCTCGGGACTCAGGACGGGGGCTGCTCCCAAAGCCTCCCCGACCCCGACAGCCTCCCTCTCTCCCGCACACACCGGACCCGGCGACGGCCCCGCTGCCCTCCCCGCCCGACCGCTCACCTGCCGGCCCCAAGGCCAAGGCCAAGGCCAGCAGCCGCGGCCCCAGCCCGCCCGCCATCGGGCCCTGCCGCGCCCGGCGGGAGGCGGACAGCAGCAGAGCGGGGCCAAGCTCGGGCCGCTCCTGCCCGCACCACAAGTCGGGCCCTCGCCGGGGCAGCGCCCCACGCTCCGCCCGCCCACGCCCGGCCCACACCGCCCCCCGCGGGGCCGCGGCCCCTTCGGCGGAGGAGGAGGCGGCCGCGGGGCGGGGCGCGGGGCAGCTCGGCGGGCAGCGGAGGAGCGCGGCGCCCCGGTAGCCGGAGGCAGGGAGGGAGCCTCCTGGCCCTGCCCTCTCGGCGCTGCCCCGGCCTCGAGCCCCGCGCAGCCCGGCAGGAGGGACCCGGCCGTGCCGTTCCGGAGCCACACGGAAAACTGCTCGGCCGCTCGCTGCTGCGGTGCCACGGGAGCCACCAGTGAGAGCCTCATCTCTGCCCTCCTGCAGCTGCAAGCTCCCGTGCTCAGGAGCTCTTGCTCCATCGCAGCCTGAGCACTGATATTACTATCAGGGAGTGGGAATAGAGAAACAACCAGGACATGAAGGGTAGCAAAGTGTTTTGTTGCCGATAGCTGGACCTCCAGTGGAGGGCTGTAGAGCAGGAAACTACGGTGGAGGGAGAGAGGAGCCAGAAGCCCTGTGAGGAGTGACTGATGCAGCTGCTGAGCAAAAGGAATGGGGTGATGTGATAGGGAGGATTCACAAAATCATCAAATGGGGCTTAAGCAGGACAAGCACTTCCCTAGTCCTGATGGCCACACTGTTTCTGATGCAGGTCAGGATGCCATTGGCCTTCTTGCCACAGGGCACACTGCTGGCTCATGTTCAACTGGCTGTCAAACAAAATCCTCAGGTCCTTTTCTGTCAGGACATTTTCCATCCACTCTTCCCCAAGCCTGAATGGGATTGTTACGTCCATCAATCCTACAGAACGGGGTTGTTAGGACGCAAGAGCAGCGCTCGGCACTTACGCTCATGAGGAAGCCTTTGCAACTCTTCTTGCTGCACTCCACCTGACCAGGCCATTTGCTCCTGACACTGCTGTTCATCCCATGTGCCCCGACGGGCAAAGTGGGAAAGGGCTGAGCTGAAGGCAGTTCTTTGCCCTCTTCAGCATGTGAATATGGTTCTGCTGCTACTCCCGGTTCTCTGTGGCAGCAATACATGTAGAAAAGGAAGGGACCCTGGGAGCAGGTTTATGTTAAAGCGCAGCTGGGTTTCCTGTCCCTGTGCGAACTGCACAGAAGTAGTGGGCTGAGTCCTGGGGTAGAAGGGCACGCAGGGACAGGTAGGCTTTGGACTGGGAATTGTCCTTGGAGGCTGTGACTCGGCCCTCCACTGCTTTACCATATTTTGTTGTTCTAACATCAAAGTTTATGTAGGACACCCATTCGAGGCTTCCACCAAGTGCCTGACGGTACCACCAGACAGAAAAATCTTGGAATCTGAATCCGGATCCCTGGCAAGAGAGCTGCACGGAGTCTCCAGTGCTCGCAGACCTCCACCAGACTCCACCAGCTTCAATTCAGCCCAAACACCTGCAGCAGAGAACATGGAGTGGGGCAGTGTGTGCACACAGAAAGAAAAGGATGCTAACCAGAAGGCCCACCACCAACCCGAGACCAGCACAGCCTCAGTCGCCATCCCACTAACACGCAAGAAGCCACTCGGCAAGTGCACTACCCCGACTGCCCTCCTCGGGACTCACACGGAGTTGTTCTCAAAGCATCCCCGACAGCCTCCCTCTCCCGCACACACCGGACACGGCCCCGGCCAGAAGGCCCACCAACCCGAGACCAGCACAGGCTCAGTCGCCAACCCCCTAACACGCAAGAAAAGCCCCTGGCCAGGGGCACTGCTCCAACTACCCTCCTCGGGGCTCAGACAAGGCTGCTCCCAAAGCCTTCCCGACCCCGACGGCCCCTGGCAAGGGGCACTGCCCCAACTGGCCTCCTGGGGACTCAGACGAGGATGTTCCCAAAGCCTCCCCGACCGCGACAGCCTCCCTCTCCCGCACACACCGGACACGGCCCCGCTGCCCTCCCCGCCCGCCGCTCACCTGCCGGCCCCAAGGCCAAGGCCAAGGCCAGCAGCCGCGGCCCCAGCCCGCCCGCCATCGGGCCCTGCCGCGCCCGGCGGGAGGCGGACAGCAGCAGAGCGGGGCCAAGCTCGGGCCGCTCCTGCCCGCACCACAAGTCGGGCCCTCGCCGGGGCAGCGCCCACCGCTCCGCCCGCCCACGCCCGGCCCACACCGCCCCCCGCGGGGCCGCGGCCCCTTCGGCGGAGGAGGAGGCGGCCGCGGGGCGGGGCGCGGGGCAGCTCGGCGGGCAGCGGAGGAGCGCGGCGCCCCGGCAGCCGGAGGCAGGGAGGGAGCCTCCTGGCCCTGCCCTCCCGGCGCTGCCCCGGCCTCGAGCCCCGCGCATCCCGGCAGGAGGGACCCGGCAGTGCCGTTCCGGAGCCACACGGAAAAGCTGCTCGGCCGCTCGCTGCCTGCGGTGCCCACGGGAGCCACCAGTGAGAGCCTCATCTCTGCCCTCCTGCAGCTGCAAGCTCCCGTGCTCAGGAGCTCTTGCTCCCATCACAGCCTGAGCACTGACATTACTGTCAGGGAGTGGGAAATAGGAAGACAGCCATGGCATTAAGCAGAGCAAAGGGTTTGTTGCAGATAGGTGGACTTCAGGTGTAGGGATCTAGATCAGGGACTATGGTGGAGAGAGAGAGGAGTCAGCAGCCCTGTGAGAGAGTGACTAGGCATGGGGTGATGTGGCAGGGAGGCTTCACAACATCCACAAAAGGGGGCTTAAGCAGAACCACCTTCAGCACTTGCATCTAGCTCAGAAGGGCCCACAAGGCACCATCAAGGAGAAATCCCACAAGCCCTTTCTAAGCAGAGGGCATGCTGGGGTGCCTCTCCAAGTGTCATAGGCAAAGGTAGGGCTAAGGATGGAAAGGCTCTTCAAGAGGGAACTCCATTTGCGGTGTCCTCAAAGCAGAGACATCATGGGTTCGTCTTGGCTTAAGTCATGAAAACTGTGCAGCTTGACCAATGCTGCACCATGACAGGACACGACGCCTGCTGGTTTCACCCCCGAGCTCCAGTACATCTTACTGAACCAGCAGGGACACCACAGTCTCCTGCAAACAGAGAGAAAGGGGAGCAGAAGAATGCAAGTATTGTACAAACTCCAAGATGACGAAGTGTGCTAGCAACGAATTGGAACATAAACTGAGTACAAGCTCAATATGATTTCAATTGGATTGAAAATGATGAGCATACGGAGCAGGAGAAAGCAGAGGAGGAGCCAAATGCTCTCAGTGCAGACTCAGACTCACCATCAGCTGGTCTGTGGACCAACAACCCACTCATCAGAAGGGACCTGTGTGCCTGCTGGTATCATGAGATTCTATAGTCATTGACAAGTAGCCTGCATCCCCAGCTGGTGACATGCATGGAAATCACAGAACTGTAGAATCATTAAGGCTGTAAAAGACCATGTTAAATCATCACATCCACAATCAACCTTACCTAACAAATCCTGTCATGCACAGGATAAAAAATAACATACCACTGAGTGTAAATCCTGCTTCTCACAGGCCTGACGATTCCTTGGTGGAGGAAGAGGTGAGCATGGGGTAGGGAGCAGTGGGGAGGAGTGTGTCACACCAGCAGCCACAAGCTTCTAGCCCTGGCTGCCTTACGCTGCCCCAGTCTCACACAGCATGGCAAAAATGTTCCTACTGAGGGGATGGCAGACCTCCTGAGGAGGGCTTTAAACTATAAAGAAGGGGGAAAAGGAGAGAATAACCAGAAGCCCTGTGAGGGAGTGACTGATGCAGCCGCTGAGCAGAAGGCATGGGGTGATGTGATAGGAAGGATTCACAAAATCATCAAAATGGGGCTTAAGCAGGACAAGCACTTCCCTAGTCCTGATGGCCACACTGTTTCTGATGCAGGTCAGGATGCCATTGGCCTTCTTGGCCATGGGACACACTGCTGGCTTGTGTTCAGCTGGCTGTCAAACAAAACCCTCAGGTCCTCCTTTTCTGTCAGGACACATTCTATCCACTCTTCCCCAAGCCTGAATGGGATTGTTACATCTGTCAATCCCTACAGAATGGGGTTGTTAGGACCCAACAGCAGCACTCGGCACTACCTTTCATGAGGAAGCCTTTGCAACTCTTCTTGCTGCACTCCACCTGACCTGGCCATTTGCTCCTGACACTGCCGCTGATTCTATGTGTCCATACAGGCAATGTGGGAAAGTTCTGATCTCAAGGCACTACTCCGCACTCTTCAAAAGCTTAATAAAATTCTGCTGCTTCTCTCTGTTCTCTGTGGCAGTGTCACACTTAGAGAAGCGAGGGGCCCTGCAACAGGTTTGTGTTAAAGCGCAGCTGGGTTTCCTGTCCCTGTGCGAACTGCACAGAAGTAGTGGGCTGAGTCCTGGGGTAGAAGGGCACGCAGGGACAGATAAGCTTTGGACTGGGAATTGTCCCGGGAGACACTGGCTCGGCCCTCCACTGTTTTGCTATATTCTAAAGTGCTACCATCATAGTTAAGGTAGGACATCCACTCGAGAGTTCCACCGGGTGCCTGACGGTACCACCAGACATCATGACTTCCAAAGATGAATCCAGATCCCTGGCAGGAGAGCTGCACGGAGTCTCCAGCTGCTCGCAGACCTCCGCCAGATTCCACCACAATCAACTGAGCCCAAACACCTGTAGAAAGAGACCACAGGGAGTAGGGATGCGTGTGCCCACGGAAGGAAGATGCCCTCCAGAAGCCCCAGCAACGCCAGCCTAGCATAGACAGAAATGCCAACCTACTTGCTCCACACAAGGCCCCTGGCCAGGGGCACTGCCCCAACTGCCCTCCTCTTGGCTCAGATGGGGCTGCTCCCAATGCACCCCCGACCCCGACAGCCTCCCTCACCCCACACACCGGACCCTAACTGACAACGACGGCGAGCGCCAGGCTCCAGTGCGCCAGGTGGGGCAGCACCAGGAGACGCGCCACGTCGGTCACGGCCAACCCCCGTCCCAGACACGACTCAAGTTTAAGCCCCAGCCCCAACCCCGCCCAGGCCCCGCTGCCCTCCCCGCCCGCCGCTCACCTGCCGGCCCCAAGGCCAAGGCCAAGGCCAGCAGCCGCGGCCCCAGCCCGCCCGCCATCGGGCCCTGCCGCGCCCGGCGGGAGGCGGACAGCAGCAGAGCGGGGCCAAGCTCGGGCCGCTCCTGCCCGCACCACAAGTCGGGCCCTCGCCGGGGCAGCGCCCACCGCTCCGCCCGCCCACGCCCGGCCCACACCGCCCCCCGCGGGGCCGCGGCCCCTCTTGTCCTATCGCTCGTTATCAGCGAGAACAGGCCGGCCCACAGCTCCCCACAACTTCCTTTGAGGGAGCGGGAGAGAGGCCTCCACTAAGCAAACCGAGCCTCATCTTCTCCGGACTGAAGGGAGAAGCCTTCTCCGCTCCACATAGGCATGTCCGCTGGTACGTCTTTCATAGCAGTATCTCCCCAGGCACTGCATCGTGGGGTATCTGTGGCCTGATGGATCCTGTACTTTTGGTCTAACTCCAGCACAACCGATTGATGCTCAGGGGTGACCTGCTTCTGCATCACCTCTGTGCTGACAGCTCAGTCACATCACAGTATTGAAGACAGCTAAACGTTGTTCTTAGATTTTGGAACCACTGGGGGCTTGGGACTCTTGTAATGTCAGTCCACTTTACACGCTCTTTCACAAAGCAGAAGGCATTGGTATTTTTTAAAATAAGGTCAGCACTGCCCCTCCTATTACCCTTGCTTTCCAGTGAGCCATGACTCAGACTTCACATGGGACAATTTTCCGAGGTTTTAGGGAATTCCACGATGTATTCTCTAACCTTTTTATACATAGCCCTCCTCCCACACAGGAGATGAGCACCACCCCTCCTGCACACACACACAGACACACATGCAAATCATTGCTGCTTGAAACTGTCAGGTCATATACTACGGAAAAAAAAATATATAGATATTTGCACTCATTCTGGTTATTGCCTTTTCAAATGGTGGTTCTTCAAAGGTTTACCTGTAAGACAGATTTAAAGGACCAAGCAACACCTTAGAACAATGCTTCAGTTTGCAGGCTTTTCATACTCGGTTATATGCTAATTTAATAAAGTCCTAGAATGGCTTGGGATGGAAGGGACACCAAAAAACATTTAGTTCCAACCCCCTGCCATAGGCAGGGATGCCACCCAATAGATCAGGTTGATCAGGGCTTCATCCAACTTGGTGTTGAACACCTCCAGGGGTGGGGCATCCACAACCTCTCTGGGCACCATCTTGCAGTGCCTCACCACCCTCTGAGTGAAAATGGTGGTACACCACCTGAGCCCCCGTAACCTCTCATCTAAATGTCTCCTCGTTTAGTTTAAAATGATTCCCCCTCATCCTGTCAACATCCAAATGAGTAAAGAGTTGCTCTCCATCCCTTCAACAAATTCCCTTCAAATACTGAAATGTTGCAATGAGGTCACCCAGGAGCCTTTGCTTCTGTAGGCTGAACAGCCCCAGATCTCTCAGCCTTTTTTCATATGAGACATGCTCCAGCCCCATGATCACATTTGTGGCACTCCTCTGGACCTGCTCTAACAGATCAACATCCTTCTTGTGCTGGGAGCTCCCGACCTGGACACACTACCCCAAGTGGGGCATCACAAGGGCAGATTAGAAGGAGACAATCATCTCCCTCAATCTGATAGACAGTACTCTATTACTGCAGCACAGGATGCAGTTGGCCTTCTAGGCTGCAAGCACACAATTCTGGCTCACGTCAAGCTTTTATTCCAGCAGAACCCCCACGTCCTTCTCAGCAGGGCTGCTCTTTAGGAGTTCTTCATCCAGTCTGTACTCATGTCTGGGATTGCTCTGGCCCAGGTGTAGCACCTTACACTTAGACTTGTGGAACCTCATTAGGTTCATGTGTGCCCACTTCTCAAGAATGTCCAGGTCCCTTTGGGTGGCATCCCTTCTTTCTATTCTATCAACAACAGAATTTGCCTACAGGACAAAGAGTGTGGATTTTCTGTGAGGGCTGGCATGCACAGGCATATCTGTTGTTCTACATAGCCCACTCTCAAAGGGATTTTGCCTGTAATTTCCTTAGAGCTTAGCCTCTTCCTCTGGACAGGTACACTCTAGCTGCTTGCTGCCTCCTGGGTACTTGCAGTGCAATTAGGATGAGCCATAGCCTGAGGCTAGGGTGGGAGAGAAGATTTTTGAGCAACAAGGGATTCTCCCAATCTTTCCCATACTATCTTCTAAGGTGTATCTCCTAGAGAAAGACCTTGGGCGCACTGCAGGAGATTCAGCAATCCCATTCTCTGCAGCAACTGTACAGGCCTAGGGCTGTAGCAACCTCCTTGGCCCTTGTCTGGAGCAAGTACTGCCAACTGGGATGCTGCTGGTGACAGGCCATGTAAATGTAAGAAGCGTTGAACCTATAAGTGCATCGCAGGGTTTCTGTGTATTGTGCTGAGCCCCTCAATGCAGACTTCATTACTTGGATCTTACTGCCCTGAAACACAACTGGAGTCACAGCACAGCTCTTCACACAACTGCTTCTCTTTTTCCAGCTCATGGAAATGGCACAGGGACGGGTCACTGAGGGAAGTAACAATGGAAATAGGCAACATCTTTTCTAAAGCCCAAGTGAAGAAGGAGACCAAAGGCAGGCAGACAGGGGCTGAAGGCAGCTAAACTACGCAAGCTATTTTGGTGACCAGAAATATACTGAACATCATCCTCAGATACTGGTTTGGGGACATTGGAGAAAGGGCTGATTAAGAGAAAGGAGCTCTTGGCAGAAAGGACAGAGCTATCTCTGGTATACAGTGATGCAGCCTTGCTCCCTGGGAGCAGCCTACAGCGGACACAACCCAGATGACCTCTGCGGCTCGCACAGTCCTGGCCACGCCCTGCAAAGGGATTTTTGTTAAAGCTCTGCTGGATTTCCTGTCCCTGTGTGAACAGCACAGAAATAGCGGGCTGAGTCCCCCACATGCAGATGCTGGAGAAACAGAGATGACTCGGACCGTGAATTGTCCCGGGAGGCTGTGGCTCGACCTTGTACTGCAACCCCGTATTGCTTTTTAGTACCAGATGGCATGCTGACGTAAGACACCCACTCAGGACTGCCACCAGGTGCCAGACGGTACCACCGTACAGCAAATAAACTTAAGTTGAATCCAGATCCCTGGCAGGAGAGATTCACAGAGTTCCCACGTGTTCGCACACCTCCACCAGACTCCACCAACCTCCACTGTGCCCATACGCCTGTAGGAGAGTACATGGAGTGAGGCAGTGAGAACACAGAAAGAAGAGGATGCTAAACAGAAGGCCCACCAACCCCAGACCAGCACAGCCTAAGCCACTAACCCCTTACTCTTGAGAAAGCCACTCACCAGGTGCACTGCCCCGACTGCCCTCCTCGGGGCTCAGACGAGGCTGCTCCCAAAGCCTTCCCGACCGCGACAGCCTCCCTCTCCCGCACACACCGGACCCGCTGCCCTCCCCGCCCGCCGCTCACCTGCCGGCCCCAAGGCCAAGGCCAAGGCCAGCAGCCGCGGCCCCAGCCCGCCCGCCATCGGGCCCTGCCGCGCCCGGCGGGAGGCGGACAGCAGCAGAGCGGGGCCAAGCTCGGGCCGCTCCTGCCCGCACCACAAGTCGGGCCCTCGCCGGGGCAGCGCCCACCGCTCCGCCCGCCCACGCCCGGCCCACACCGCCCCCCGCGGGGCCGCGGCCCCTTCGGCGGACGAGGAGGCGGCCGCGGGGCGGGGCGTGGGGCAGCTCGGCGGGCAGCGGAAGAATCGATCACCTGGCGAGACACATGATAAATCATCTCTAACTCACTCAGCCTCATTGACCTCCCGGGAAACTAGTGCTTCTTCCACAGCAAATAAATTCAGCAGTTCATCTCTTCTGCACAAGAAAATAGTCCCATTTAGGATCAGAGGGAAAAGCTGTCAGGTGTTTAACCATGGAATCATAGAAACATGGAGAACGACACCTCCTTGCTGCAACCTTCTCTCAGACAGCTGCAGAGAATGATCAGGTCTCCCCTCAGCCTACTTTTCTCAACACTAAAAAAAAAACAGTTTCCTCAGCTGCTGATGAGAACACTTGCTTTCTAGTCCCCTCACCAGCTTTGTTGCTCTTTGCACATACTCAAGCAACTCAATATCCTTCTGTGGTCGTTTTACTTGGGTGGACAGCCGAGTTCCACCACAGTCGCTCTCTCACTCCCCCTCCTCAAAGAAAAAGGGGGAGAAATAACAATACAGAGGCCTCAAGGTTTGACATAAGGATGATTTAATTAAAGGCAAAAATAAGAAGGGGAAAAAAAAAAAAAAGGAAAGGCTGCACGGAAGCACAGAGAGAGAAAAGCAGTTACCCTCTACTTCCCATCAACGAGCAACATTCAGCCACATCCTGGGAAGCAGGGCCTCAATACACATAGTGGTTGTTTGGGAGAACACAGCCTTCCACAACGAGGCCCCCCACCTCTCCTTCACCTTTCCCACATTTATTGCTCAGAGTGACATCATATGGCATGGGATAGACCTTTGGTCGATTTAGGTCAGCTGCCCCAGTGATGTCCCCTCCCCATCACTTACAAACCCCCAGTCTGCTGGCTCTTGGGGGGTTGCAGGAGGTCCTGATGCTGTGCCAGTAGTGGGCAACAATAAATGAAACACTGCTGTGACACCAGTGCCCTTCTACCTACAAGTGCAGGGCACAGCACTGTATGGGCTGCTGCAGGGAGAGTTAGCATGCCAGCCAGACCCAGCACACCTCCTTGTAGTGAGGGGACCAAAATGAACCCAATGTCAGAGATGTGTTGTCACCAGAGCCACATACCAAAGGACCATTACTTCCCAACTCCTGATGGCCTCACTGTTTCTGATGAGATTGGCCATCTTGACAGCAGCGGCACACCACTGGCTCATGATCATCTGGCTGTCAAACAAAACCCTCAGGACCTCCTTGGCCAAGACACTTTCCATTCACTCTTCCACAAGCCTGAACGGGATTGTTACATCCATCAATCCCATAGAACGGGGTTGTTGGCACCCAAGAGCAGCACTAGGCACTTCCTCTCATGAGGAAGCCTGTGCAGCCCTTCTTGCTGCACTCCAGCTGACCTGGCCTTTTGCCCCTGACACTGCTGTTGATCCCATGTGCCCCGACGGGCAAAGTGGGAAAGGGCTGAGCTGAAGGCAGTTCTTTGCCCTCTTCAGCATGTGAATATGGTTCTGCTGCTCCTCCTGGTTGTCTGTGGCAGCAATACATGTAGAAAAGGGAAGGGATCCTGGGAGCAGATTTATGTTAAAGCTCAGCTGGATTTCCTGTCCCTGTGCGAACTGCACAGAAGTAGTGAGCAGAGTCCTGGGGTACCAGGGAGCTCAGGGACAGAGAAGACTTGGACTGGGAATTGTCCCGGGAGACACTGGCTCGGCCCTCCACTGCTTTGCCATATTTTGTTATTCTACCCTGATAGTTGATGTACGACATCCACTCTAGACTGCCACCGGGTGCCTGACGGTACCACAAGACATGATAACTTCCAAAGGTGAATCCAGATCCCTGGCAGGAGAGATGCACGGAGTCTCCAGGTGCTCGCAGACCTCCACCAGACTCAACCAACCTCCACTGTGCCCACACGCCTGT